GTACAGGGTCGCTATGGGTCGGAACCGACTCGATGGCACTTCACAACAACAACAACAATCCTTCAATATTGCAAATTGAAGCTTGGGTCTTTTTCTTTAGCTCTTTCTGCTCGAGAAATGCTGAGCATGTTCGTCTCTTCTGGTTTTCTAGCTCCAGGTCTAGCATCTTTCATAGTAAATACTTCACTGTCTTCTCAAGCTGCCCATTGAGATTTTCCGCTCAGATTTTATATTTTGTCATCTCTTCCATTAACTTTAGCTATTTTACCTTCAAGATGTCTCTTCTGACATCCATTTTTGTCTTTCTTTATTTCCTATCTTTTTAATGACCTATCTTTTCCTGTCTTATTCTTCTTGTAGGAGGTTCTTGATGTTATTCCACAACTCGTCTTGGGTCATTCATGTTCAGTGCAGCAAATCTGTTCTTGAGATGGTCTCTAAATTCAGGTCGCTTATTGGCTCGCATGGACTTGTTTCAATTTTCTTCAGCTTCAGCCTGAATTTACATATGAGTAATTGATGGTCTTCATAATTCAGTATTTGCCCCTGGAATCCTTCAATACCGCAAATTGAGCTTTGAATTTTTAAAAATTTTCTTTACTGAAGGATGAAGAAAGCATTAAAAGAAGATAGAATGAATACACAAAGTCACTGTACCAAAAAGAAATGGTTGATGTTCAACCATTTCAAGAGGTAGCATATAATCAAGAGCCAACGATCCTGAAGAAGGAAGCCCAAGGTGCATTGAAGTCATTGGTAAAGAACAAGGCACCAGGAACTGATGAAATCCAAATTGAAATCTTCCAACAAAGTAAGCAGCACTTGACGCACTCACTCATCTATGCCAAGAAATTTGGAAGACAACTACCTCACCAAATGACTGTACGAGAGCTGTATTTGTGCTCATTCCAAAGAGAGGTGACCCAATCCTCACTACTGGACCACTAAGTAACATCCATATAAATGGAGAAAAGATTGAAGTTGTCAGTGACTTCATTTTACTTGGATCAACCATCAAGACTCATGGAAGTAACAGTCAGGAAATCAAATGACGTATCGATTGGGCAAACCCGCTGTCAGTTTGAGGACTAAAGTGCACTTGATGCCAGCCATGGTATTTTCAATAACCTCAGATGCATGAGAAAGTTGGATAGTGAATAAGGAAGATGGTAGAAGAATTGATGCATTTGATTTATGGTGTTGGAGGAGAATATTAAAAGTACCGTGGACTGCCAAAAGAACCAATAGATCTGTTTTGGAAGAAGTACAGCCAGAGTGCTCCTTGGAAGCCAGGATGGCCAGATTTTGTAATTCGTATTTCAGACATATAGTCCCTAGAGAAGGATGTTATGCTTGGCAAAGTGGAGGGAAGGAGAGAACGAGGAAGACCCCCAATGAGATGGATTGGCACAGTGGCATCATCAGTGGGCTCGAACATAGCAATGATTGTGAAGTTGGCTCAGGATTGGGCAGTGTTATGTTTTGTTGTGCATAGGGTCGCTGTGAAGCAGTACCGACTTGATGGCACCTAACAGGAACCACAGTTGATGGTCTGTTCCACAGTCATCCCCTGGCTATGTTTTGACTGATGATACTGAGTTAGTCCATCATCTCCTTTCCCAGATGTAGTCAGTTTGATTCCTGTGTATTCCATCTACTAAGGTCCACATGTATCATCACCATTTATATTGTTGTAAAAGGTATTTGCAATGAAGAGGTTGTTTGTTTTGCAAAATTCTGTCATGTGATGTCCAGCATCATTTGTATCACCAAGGTCATATTTTCCAATTGTTGATCCTTTTTCTTTGTTTCCAACTTTCACATTCCAATCACCCATAACTATCAATGCATCTTGATTTTATGTTTGATCAATTTCAGACTGAAGAAGTGGTAGAATTCTTCAGTTTCTTAACCATTGGCTTTGGTGGTTGGTGTGTAAGTTTGAGTAATGGTTGTATTGATTTGTCTTCCTTAGAGGCATATAGCTATTCTCCTATCAGCAACAGCATTGTATTTCAAGATCTTGAAATGCTCTTTTGGATGATAAACGTGACACAGTTGCTCTTCAATTTGTTATTCCTGGGATATGAAATCATGTGACTGACAAATTCAAAATGGCCCGTTTGTGTCCCTAATATCTAGGACATTGATCTTTATGCGTTCTATTTAATTTTTGGTGACTTCCAGTTTTCCTTAATTCATACTTCATAATTCCATATTCTAGTTATTAATGGATGTTTGCAGCTTAAGTCGTGCCCTACCAGTAAATGAACTTCCTGAAATCTTTGCTCCATTCATATCATTAAGGTCAACTCTACTTTGAGAAGGCAGCTCTTCTCCAATCAGGTTTCAAGTGCTTTCCAACCCGATGGGCTAATCTTCCAGCACTATATCGCTGCTAGTCATACAGTGTCCAGTGGCTAGCCCCTCTCAAGTGGACCTCCTCTCCTTCTTCCTAGTCTGCCCTTGTCTGGGAGCTGTGTTGAAACCTCTCCACCATGGTGACCTTTCTGGTATTTGAAACACCAGTAACATAATGTCCAACCTCCTAGCAACATGCAAGCCACCACAGTATGACAGGCTGACAGATAAGTAGATCATATGTCTTTAATATCACAGTGTTCAAATTCCCAGTTTTCACTTCATTCTCTTTTTGCCGTGTATGTGTGGACCTCTCTTGGATCCTTCCATTGAGAGATACTTTTCTGTCACCCTTCCTCTGAAGTGAAGAGATACTGAAGCGTAATGCTCAGATTCCTAACTTCATGTGGAACTGTGTGCTGATGACGTGCAGAGTTACTGGGTTTCATTTATTATCTGATGAATTTCTCTAGGGAGAAAGTTTGTGGTTCTTGCTGTTTGTCAGTTTTCACTGTTAGGTTCGGTCCCATCAGCCAGCAGTGACCAGTGTGACCAACTCTGATATTTTCTCTTAGCTCATGGATTGAACCTGTGTCATGCGTTTCTAATCTGTAAACTGTTCCATCTCTGGTGGAAATGGCCCTTCCAGGCACCCATGGCCCTTGGAGTGCTTCACACATGTCTTGTGCCTTTGTCTCCAGACCTGGGATCAAGCACTTGTTAGAGAGAGCTCATTAAAAGGCCACCAGATGGGCTGCCCAACTGGTCCTTGTTTCCTGGTCTTTTCATAGGCTAGAGCTCGGGACTGTTTTGGTTTGTCTCCTGACGCTTCCCATCAGACGACAGATTTGTCTAAGCTCTGCTGTCTGCGTCTGTGTCTCCTCTCCCACACGGACACTCCCGGTTTCAACAACACTGGAGGTGGCAGATTTAGACTTGCACGTAATTAGTGACTCATTTGCTTTACCACATCCATAACAGTCCTGGATCCTGCACCGCGGCGCCACCACCCGTGCGTGTCCTGAAGCAGTGTGTGTCTGCTCCCGGAGCCCTTGTATCCTAAAGGGGATAGATACGTCCCTGGTTCACACACTCACATCACCCGGATCTAGAAGGGTCGGGACAGCTCTTCTGTGTACTGAAGCTACCCTGGGAGTCACTGAGGGTCACTGGTTTCATTTTATTTTGGGTATCTAGAGATTGCTTTTTGAAATTCAGTGTTGTGTTGGAATTATAGATGCAAAGTCAAGATAGTAACAAGATCTATTCCAAGACGTTTAGCTTCCTGTCCTTGCACTTCTCCTTCCTGTGGGCTCCTGGCGCCCCCTGTGAGTCCTCACAGTTCTGTTCCCCACGAGGTTCTCAGTGGGCAGTAGCTCACCAGGACTGTGGTATGAGGAACCTCTGGGTGGACTTGAACCTCTAAACTTGCTGTTGGCAGCTGAGCACATTAACCATTTTCACCCTGTAGTGTCTTTCCCCGTAGATAACCCCTGAAAGCATCCTGTGGCGTATCTTTCCATAGTCCATAAAATTAACCGTGTTTTGGTTCCTTCCGTCTCTGAGATAAACGCAGACGTTCCTTCCCCGGCGTTTCTCACTCAGCAGTACGTCTGATTCTAACAGAGTCTGGAGCAGAGCCTGCTGCTTCTGCCCTGTGCCCCCTGGTGCCCCGAGTTCACTCATCAGGGCTCCTGCTGGTCTTTGATTGACCCAAGGGTGCAGCTCTGTGGAGGCCAGTCGGCCTGCCTGTGTCTGCTGGCTGCCTGCGGACGGGTACTGGAGGGGGCTTGTCAGATCAGAGGACTGTGTGTGGCCCCCCAGATTTGCCCTTGCCATCAGAGCAGTGGACTGTAGGCTGGAGCTGCCCCTTTCTTCACACCTAACGGGTGTCAACTTCAGTCCCCTGGGACCACATCCAGCTGGGGCAGGGCCTGTCCCATCATGTGGTACAACTCAGGACCCTACTTCTCCCACAGTCTTGGAGGGGAGGCAGTCCCAGCCCACAAGGACTGGGAGACAGAGCCAGGTGCCTGGTGGAGGGCACAGCCAGAGTGACATGGAGACTCCTTAGCTGGCAGGTGAGGTCTTCTGCAACCTGGCCCCATGTACTTCTTCCCAAGTATCCCAGGTGCTTTTGAGTTCTTGGTGGGACACAGGTCAGGGTGAGAGTCCACGTCACCTTCATCCAAAGGCAGGTTTACATTTTCAAGCCCTATCTCACTCATATCTGTCAAATCATATCTCCTTCCTGAAACCAGCTCCAGGGGCCCCTGTTGGGTGTCTGATGGTACCCAACCTGGCATCTCTGTGACTATACCCGTGGGCTCTTCCCCCACTGTGTCCAGAGGAAAGGCTGATGAGAGCAAAGTGAAGGGATCATTACCCTGCAGTGGCCTAAGGATACCTCTCGGGTGGAACCCGGGAATGGAGGCTCAGAAACACCTTCCCACAGGGCTGTAAGACCAGGGTATGGAGTGGAGTAGACACAGGACTCGGTGCCGGGTCCATGCGGCCTGATGTTGGCAGCTCCCACCCAGGCTGTCGTGGGAGTCCGTGTGGGACCCGTGTGCGCCTCCGCGGGTGGTGGTCCGCAGGATGGTGTGCCTTGTGATTAATTCCTCCTCTGATCACACCAGGAGCTGTCCAAGATCACCATGCCCATCGTCTTCAACGAGCCTCTGAGCTTCCTGCAGCGGATTACCGAATATATGGAGCACGTGTACCTCATCCACAAGGCTTCCCGCCAGGCCCAGCCGCTGGAGCGCATGCAGGTGGGCGGGGGCTCCTGCTGGAAGTCTGTCAGGGCTGGGCCCTGTGGAGTCCCCTGCGTGTGTGCCGGCCTGGCCATGTCTCCCCCTGAAGGGTGTCCCACAGAGCCCCTGCTTCGTGGCTTTGACAAAGTGGTGTTGTGACAGGGCACCTTCCCCGGAAGTCATGTAGTCAAAGCATAGCAGTAGCAGATTGAAAGTTGTGACTGTCTAATGTCTGATCCGACGCTTGGCCTCATTGAGACTGTGCTCACCCCATCCTTGGCTTGTTCACAGTCTGTGGCAGCGTTTGCGGTTTCGGCAGTGGCCTCGCAGTGGGAGAGGACCGGCAAGCCCTTCAATCCGCTGTTGGGAGAGACCTATGAGCTCATCAGGTAAGGAGCGGAGGCCCGGCACCAAGGTGTCCTGTTGGAATTCTCCCACCCGCACTGCCGTCTCCACGTCTGTCCGTGTCGGATTCAGGAGTGGAGGCAGAATGTGTGTGAAAAGGCAGGAGCAGCGTGCAAGGTTGTGAGGCCTGGGTCTGGTTGTGTTTTATTGTAGCGAAAAGGTGCATCACAAAATGTTTGCCATCCACTTAGTTCTGCACATACACTCAGAGCTCGTCTTGTTGTACTTCACAGAGACGGTGTTCTTGACACAGTGAGGGGAACAGACCCTGCATGATGCTCCAGCAGCATGTGACCACCTCCTGTCTCGGCCACATCTGGGTCTCACGTTTCAGACGTGTCCAAAATAATAATAGTAATGATGATGCTGTTGCGCACGCCACAGACTCCGGTCTAGTGTCATCGTCACCTTCACATGCACTGCTCTTACTGGTGTTCAGTACCCTCAAGTCGGTTCCGACCCATAGCGACCCTGTAAAGGGCTTCCGAGGAGCGGCTGGTGAGGGGCTTGAACCACCGACCTTGTGGTTCAAACTAACTTTGCAGTCCAGCGCATTAACCCACAACACCACTGTTGTTGTCCAGTCGGTTCTGACCCATAGCGACCCTGTTTCCAAGGAGCCACTGGTGAGCTTGAACTGCTGACTTTGCAGTCAAGCACATTAACCCATAGTGCCACACCAGGACTCCTTATATGCACTAGAAAACTAAAAATCCATGTGACTTGCTTGATTTTCATCTTTGCTTTTATCCCTGAGGTCAACCCTTTTGTGTCATTGGCCTTGGTCACATTGCCCGGCCCCTTTTCCAGGTCACTCAACCTGGTTGAATTAAAGCGGGATGGGTACTTGCCAGTGAAGGAGACTGGGTTTTTCCTTAGTAGATGTTATCAAAGGATCACCTGACACGAAAGAGAAGACCCCCTCAGAATTCTCTGATAGCTGTAGTTCCATCAGCAGCCAGGAACAGTGGAGGGGTCCCTGTCCAGGCTCAGAAGTGTGTGCTGGATACAAGCTGAGGGCTGGGGATTCAGGGGAGGTGAGCAGGGATGCCAACTGGAGTGCTTCGGAAGCAGGACATTGCTGCAGAGAAGGGACTCGGGTACGGAGCCACGCCAGACGTTTAAAGCCAAGTGCTATGGGCCTGGCCCGCCTCCCTGCCCACCCTGGCTGGCAGTGGGTCACAGGGCTCTGGGGGTCTATAGGAGCCTGGGCGGCTAGCTTACTGCCCACAGAGTAAAGAGGGAGGGAGAAATCCCTACGAGCCCACTTTTGCCCTTCTGTGGAGAAAACGGACTTTTCTGTGGGTTTTAGGTGAGGTGAGATGCTGCTGGATGACCTTATGAAGATGAAGGGCTTTAATTTATGGTGACGTCTCCTTCAAACCACACCGTGGTGTAACTGAACTAGTCACGAGCATGTGCCTTGAGTGTTGTGCCCTTGTAGGACTTCTGTCAGGGGCCCAAGTGGTGCTGGCACCGGCACCAGCATGGGGAAGGTGAGCCCGGGAGCCTTGGCACTGAGCCCTCCCTGGTCATGCGGAGGACACCTCAGGAAGGCGGGCGAGCAGGCTGTGCAGTGGGGCATGTAGACGCTCCAGGAATTGGTGAGCGCTTTGCTCTGTGCATTCTCAACAACGACAACGTTGTTGTGAAAATAAAGGGCATATGTTGGGGTGCTTCAGAATGCTTTTGGGAAATTGTCATTAGATTTTAATTCTATTTTTTCATGAACTTTTGGATGCATCCGTGTGTGCGTGTGTGAATATCGTGGGAGAAAGATGAGGCTTCAAGTTGCTCCCATCAAGATTTACAACCCTGGAAACTATAAAGGGTTGTTGTGAGTTGAAACCACCTCCATGGCACATAAAGACAGCATTATGTATGGACAGATGTATAATTTTAAGAGCATGCTTTTTATAAGAAATGCATAAAAATTTAAACATTATAAAAGACCAACTAGATAGAAAACACAATTACTCACACTTTGGCAGATTTATCTTTTTTCCTCTGGAGTCACGTGCACACGTGTGTTTTTACATAACGTGATGGTGTTGCTGTTCGTCCTTTTGAACTTAACACTTTCCCACGCGTTTCAGCACTTCATTGACCCTGAGACTCGATTTATGGACTGTAGCAATCCCTCCAAGTTTCATCACAGAGTTTTCCTTCCTCTCATCAGACAGTGTGGTGTGCAGGCCCGCTGCCATCCTGAATTCAAGGATGTTACCTATCGTTGGCTGGAGGCCCGTGCCTCTGTGTGTCACTAAGGATGAACATGGTGGTGGCACTGGGGATGCTGTCGGCTCCGTGCATGTGAAGGGTTCAGATGTGGGGCGGTGATCCATGGATGGCTGAGTGGGCCGTGTGGAGGAAGGAGCCTTGAAGGGGGCACCCTGCTGGGGCAGAGAGAATGGCGTGAATGTCTGTCCTCCAGGGTGGGTGCCCCCTTGAAGCCCCCTGCTCCACGGAGCTCTCTCCCACAGCTGCTGCTGTGGCTGAGGCAGTGACTTGGGGTCACGACCTGCCTCGGTCGGAGGATGGCGCAGTGTCACACTGGGAAGCAGGCCTGAGGGGCCCCTCCCGGGGGCTGAGTGCATCTCCTCTGTCTTCTGGTTCTTCCGTGTAGCAGGTGTCACCCAGCCCGGCAGCCTGCCTGTGCCTTCCCACTGCTGGCTGCGTTTCAGTGACGGGTCGCAGGTTCTGCATTGCCTTAGATGTTAGAAAGCCATCAGTAGTTTGGATTAGTAAGAAACTAATCCATTAAAGTACTTTGAAACAGATAAAAGTGTGCAATGAGACAGTTCCTCAAAGACACTATAGAAGCAGTATGGGTGAAAAGAATATGAACAGCCCAAGATGCTGTAGAAACTGTTAACCTTTTCTAGAAACTCAATTCAGGGACTGAGTGCTTGCTTCCCAGAGTGACAGAAAGCAGTTAAAATCCTTGTAAACACCAACAAGTGCAGATTGTCTTGTTCTGATGCGCTAACCTCCAGGTCCCCCGCTGCCAGTGTCCGGCCACAGAGGTCTGGCCAAGCTCTACTTCCGGAGCAACACAAACAAGCCACATCATTTACCAGTATTCCTTGGTCCCTACGATGCTTCTTGTCTTGCTAAAAATACACTTTCTTTTCTTAGACAAGCATTCATTTTGTAAATTACATACCTTGGTAGGCAACCTTTTAGAATCTAAATTTTCAACTTTCCTTCTTCTGAAATGATTGGAAATTCTGATTCCAGTTAAGTTAGTAATTATGTAGTTGAGCTTTTATAATTTTTAATGACTCCAACTGTAGGTGTGTGCACAGTTCCGGAGCAATTAAAAACTGACATTTTTATTGAAAAAGAGTGCATTAAAAAAAATCCTGTTTCCTGGCCAGGAATATCTTGGGGATAAGTCGCTCCATCCAAGCATCCTCAGAAGAGGGGGCTGCCGAGGGACAGTGGGGCTCGTGGGCAGGGGCCTTCCCCTCAGGGTTAGGACCACAGTTTGGTGTCCCAGGCTCTAACATGTTTCTAGACCTGTATCCACATGTCCTTCCGGCTGAGTTCCTGGGGTGGACCCGGAGAACTTGGGGGAGGGCTTCAGGTAGCTGGTTTCCATTAGTGGTCAGCTCTGTTCATTGGTCCGGAGTTGGGGAGCTTTGGGGGCTGTGCCGGCAGAGAAGCAGGGCCCGGCACCTCTCCGATGACTCCACTTGGGTCTTGTTCCCCCGGCCCGCTCCCCGCTTCTCTAGGGAAGACCTGGGATTCAGATTCATATCCGAGCAGGTGAGCCACCACCCTCCCGTCAGCGCGTTTCATGCTGAAGGGCTCAGTCAGGACTTTGTCTTCCATGGCTCCATCTACCCGAAGCTGAAGTTCTGGGGGAAGAGCGTGGAGGCCGAGCCCCGTGGGACCATCACACTGGAGCTGCTGCAGTAAGTGGACAGTGGACCCGAGTGTCCTGGGCAGACAGAGAGGACATGTTGGCTCTCGTTAAAGGCGAGACCCCTCCTGTCAGTAAGTGGACAGCAGACCCGAGTGTCCTGGGCAGACAGAGCCGACACGTTCGGTGTCGTTAAGGGCGAGACCCCCTCCTGTCAGGCTCCATCCGCTCTGGTGTATCGCTGTCTGGTTCCCACCTGGCCCTGGTATGCTCACTCACTGGGAGTCAGAACCGACAGCAAACGCTTCCTGCTGCTCACAGTGTCCAGGTCAGGAGCTTGAGCAGCACAGCTGGGTGGCCTTGGCACGGGCTAAGAGAAGAGGTGTTGGCGTGTGGTTAAAAACTGCAGACCACTCCCACTATAGTTGTGTCCTTCCCAGGAGCCACCCCAGAACCGCCACACCGCCAGGCCTGTGTGAATGAGTGCGTGGGCCCTGGGGTGTGTGCTGGTGATGCGGTTTCCTTTCCAGGACCTCAGTCTTCTTTTCTCTCCTGTTCTCTTGTCTTGATGTTTGAGTAAAAGGCTTCCTGAATGGTACAAAGGAAAGTAGAAATGCATTTCAAATAGATGCTAAATCAATAGAATAAGTAGCCTCCCTCTTGGGGGAGTTCGAAGCCCCTGTCCATGCTCTCAGACAGTGACTTTGCACTCTGACAGCCTTGGCATTCTGGTCACTTGGGACACATGTTCCTCCTGGCCTCTGACCTGCGCCTACCTGGCCCCTCCCACAGGCAGAACGAAGCCTACACCTGGACCAACCCCACCTGCTGTGTGCACAACGTGATCATTGGCAAGCTGTGGATCGAGCAGTACGGCACGGTGGAGATCTTTAATCACAGGTCCGCTCTCCCTACGTGGTGACCGCCAGCAGGCTGGGTCCTGTGTCTGGACATTGTGATGGCTTTAGACCAGCTGCAGTGTCGCTGCAGGAGTGAGGCTGTCTGTGTGTGTGTGTGTGTGTCACGTGCTGTGGTTCTCGTTTGTTATGCTTACTGGGCCTGTCCTCTGGAATCACCTCCTGTCCCTGGAATTCGGGACTCGTTGGCGTCTCTTGACATAGGGCTGAGTGAGGTGCCCCTTTGTGATCATAGTCCCATCTGTGGACACCCCCATCACCCTAAAAAGAGTGCTCTGCTTCCCACCCAGCTCTTGCCCCTCTGTCCTTCACCGTCTCTGGTTTGTCATCCCAGGATGTGGCTGTCACATGACAGGGCTCTGTGTTTATGTCTCTAGGACCGGAGACAAGTGTGTGCTCCACTTCAAGTCATGCGGACTGTTCGGGAAGGAACTCCACAAAGTGGAAGGGCACATTCAAGACAAGAAGTAAGTGGCACCTGTCACTCATACACATGACACCTGCTCACTTGTTTAGAGAGAGCATCCCAGTATCAGGCAGATGAGGAAACAAGCGCTTTGTCTTCACTGTGGTTCCCAGGGTGTGGTGGATGGAAGCCGCTCTGTCTTGAGGCTCAGGGGTCTGGGCCTGATTCCCTTGGTAAGCAGATAAAAGAGTTAGACATTAGTCCCGAGAGAGTGTGGCCACGCGGCCTCTCTGCATGTCTGCGTCTTGGCGCCAGGAGAAACCCAGAGCAGCGTGTGCCTCTAGGTCAGGACTGTCACAAAATCCTGTGAGCCAGGAAATGGCCAGTCATGGTCTAAAGCGTTTCCCAGGGTTTCCTCCTTGCCTTTGGATTACTTCTCTTCTGTCTTGGGTCTCAGATTCCTCCCCTGTTTCGCCAATAAGGAATTTGGCACAGCCTACTGGGGTCCCCTAGGCGCTACATTTTCCTCTATGAGCGTGGGTGTTTCCTTCTCCACCAGTTTGTGCAGAGTCTTGCATCTTGGGCTCTGACCGTGTCAGACTCAGGTGGCGTACCTTAAAGGTGACAGTCACTAGTGAGAATAGGACCAGCTGGGCAGCAGCAAGCAGGGCCCCCGAGGAGCCAGCTGTGGGAACCTGGAAGGAGGGCTGGGGACTGGCAATCACAGTAGTGGATGGTGTGTGTAAGTGTGTTTCGGTTTCTTAGCCATAAATTTGAGTGTGCTCTTTTCTAAAAGGGTGCCTTGTGGAGCGTCTGCCCATGCGTACACGGGCTAGGGTCGGTGCCTGCGGTGCTGGTCCTCAGGATATCATGGGGCGTGTCATGCTCTGCCCCCTGCACTGTGCTGACCCCCATTCTGTGAGCACAGACACCTCTGGGTACTGGGCTGTGAGGTCTGGAAAGATCTCTAGGACTTTGCCAAAACAGAAGGGGGCTGCGGAGCGATTGGTACAGCAGCTGTTATGGGACCAGCTCTTTGTACCCTGATGGAGCTAAGTCTGGTGGTACCAGCAAACAAGGTCACAAGGTCACCCCCTCCTGGCTCTTGCTCTGCCTCTGTTCCTTGGTGTCTCAGGACTCAAGAGTCATTCCAAGGGGCACGAGGAGGGACTCTGAAATGAGCCTTGGCGTCTCCGTTTACAGGTGTTGTACAGTACGTAAGAAGACAGGCCAAACAGGCAACTGTTGTTGTTACATGCCTTCGAGTCCTTCTGACTCCTAGTGACCTTGACCAGGAGCGGCTGGTGGGTTTGAAGTCCAGTGCTCATCCTACAACACCCCCCCAGGACTCCATGGCCAGCTTTAGGGGCAGCTTATTGAAAGGAATGGTTTTGAACTGTTTTTAACGTGGTTTAAAAAATGCCCTTTTGACTACAGCAAAAAGAAGCTTTTCATGATCTATGGCAAGTGGACGGAGTGCTTGTGGGGTGTTGACCCTGCTTCCTACGAGTCCTTCAAGAAGCACGAGAGGAGAGGCGATCACCCCAAAAAGGTAAAGCCGGGAAGGTGCTGCTCTGGGGTGATGGCCCTGCGCAGAGCAAGGTCTCAGGAAGCGAGGGTGTCCTGGGACGGTGCTTAGAAACGAAGCTGGGCCGGCCTGTCCCAGGGAGGATACAGCACTTGCAGAATGAGTAATTACGTCAGGATGTGTCCGTCCCAGTGAACAGTGAGGAGTCAGGGTGTGTCTGTCACAGTGAATGAATGAGGGAGTCGGAAGGTGTCTGTCAGTGAGCTAGTGAGGGGGCTAGGGTGCATCTGTCACAGTGGGCCTGCCAGTATTTGGGTTCTGGCACTGGTGGTGGGATTTGCATGTATTCACTGATTGGTGTACTGTGTCTGTGGAGATTCTTGGGGTCTCGTAGGCAGCCTCCCTGGCCTGGAGATATCCAAGAGAACCTTGTTTAAGACCATGTCTTTCTGGAAGTTTCATGTTTTCCGGTTTCTTCTTGATAAAGCCTCATTTTCCTTTCACCTGACCTAGCCTGTACTGATTTAAAATTCAAATGATGGACATTTCTTTTATTTTTTTTAGTTCTAAGTACTGGATAATATACAAGGGGGCTTCAAAAAATCAAAAAGTTAGTGGAAAATGGAATGAAGAGAATGGAATTTTTCCACAAACTTTAGAAACCCCATTGTATTTAACACTCAGAAAGTATTGTGAGCTTAAAACTAGAAGTGATGTTCAAAAGAGGTTGTCTTGTTTTTTGAGATAATAGATTGAAATGGACCAAACCTGAGATGTTCGGTGTCATTTAACAAGACCATCCACTCTCCCACGGGGGTTTAGTGTTCTCGCTCTGTTGTGACACGTGGTGTGTGCTGTCCCACAATACTGCTGTTTAAGCCAGAGTGAATTTCCACCTCCCAGCCTTGGAGTGCTTGGCCTAGTTTCTGATGTCTGTCTAACTAAGGCTTCTGGCTTGTTGCGCTGGGTAACTAGAATGAGAGACAGTTGTCCATGAGTTCTTAGTCTTGAGCTGGGTCGCAGTTTGGCTGCTGGCCCCAAACCAGCCTATGATCAGCAATAGCAGAGACCGCTGGGGTCAGGTGGAGACCCCCATGCTTTGCTGATCTATTTTCCATGTTATTCTGTGGGGGTTGCATTTCATAACCACTGTCTGGGCAGCTGTGTTCCCAGTAGGCATGAGCTGGAGAGTCAGTCGCTGGGAAGGTGGGTCAGATGCTGTCTCAGAAGGCGCCACACGGTTAGGCCATGTACAGACACAGCAGAATGTCTTTTGATGTTGCCGGTGGTTTTCCCACAAGGAAAGTCTGTGACGCTCTGGCCTCCCACCACCTGCAGTGATCAGTGGACACCTAGAGTGAGGCCATGGTCACTTTAGGAACAGGACGTCCAGCTTGTCCCCTCACACGCAGGAGGCTGGCAGTCTCTCCTGAGTTAGAGTAAAAAGGACCAAGACAACAATGATCCTCACTGCTCAGTGGTACAGTAACAATCCCAGAAGAGCTCCCCCCGGGACTAACTAGGACGCCCCATGGCCAGCCTGGGCTCTCTATCACCCCCTAACCGGGTCCCCCCGTGACCCTCTGGCTGGCTCTGTTGCAGGAGACCCACTCCGAGAAGGTGGACAGTGATGTGGCTGACCATGTGCCCGAAACTCAGGAGACTGTACAGGTCATCCCGGGCAGCAGGCTGCTCTGGAGGATCAACTCACGGCCCCCCAACTCGGCTCAGGTCTGTCTGAAGGCCTGGGTCACCGGTGCCACTCCCTCCCTCCACATAAACTCATCCTCCTGATTTCCAGAAGATGCTTTAGAAGTGCCTGGGGGTTGGGAAGGGCACCCCCGGAGTAAAGGACCCTCTGCCTTGAGGTTTGACGGGATGCCAGGACTCCAATGGCCATAGGCAGACCTGCCTGAAACCGAGCCCCGTCCCCCTGCAGATGTACAACTTCACCAGCTTCACTGTGAGTCTCAATGAGCTCCAGGCAGGCATGGAGGAGAACCTGCCCCCCACAGACTGCCGTCTGCGCCCCGACATCCGTGGCATGGAGAATGGCCACATGGGTACGTGTCCGGGCCCCCACACCTAACGCTGCACTGCCGGGTTCCTTTATCTTGTAAGCTTAGGGTTCAGTACAGTTCTCCTGATGAACCCAGTGGTCTCGGTTTCTGCACGCTTTGGGTCATTGTTGGCCAGCCGAGACAGCTGGCCATTGTGGCTGTGCTCGTTTGCTGACCAGGTTCTGAGCATGTGCTTGAGAGCTGGACAACTCCCAGAGGACGATTTGGGCAGCTTTGCTCTGGAACATGGCCGTCTTCTCCACAGAAGCCCTCAGTTCCCTGGCAGGTGGTGGTCTTGGTAACTTGGCCTCAGCATTGGCCATGGCATTTGATCTCTTGATTACAGAATTTACCCCGGGTGTCCTCTCAGCTCTGGGGCTGTGAGGGGGTTGCCCTGACCTCTGCCCCTGATTGAAATGCATACTTCACTGTTCACTGTCTGCTTGGGCCCTAGACTTAGCGAGCCGAGAGAAAGAGCGCCTAGAGGAGAAGCAGAGGGCAGCCCGCAGGGAGCGGGCCCAAGAGGAGACGGCGTGGCGGACAAGGTGAGGCTCCCCACGCCAGGGACTCGCGTATCTGTCTCCCAAAGTTGAGGAAAAGTGGCTTCCTTCCAGGTTTCACTATGGCACTGGTAGCCTGTCACCTCACGTGATGTCACATCACGTCACGCCACATCATGCCATATCACCTCACACAGAGTGACCCTGTTTACAGTTTCCAAGGAGTGGCTGGTGAGTTTGAACCACCAACTGGCAGTTTAAACCCACCTTAGAGTGGAGTGCTTATCCTACAGTGCCACACCAGGACTTTCATAGTTAAAATATGAGCATCCGCTTAATAATGTTCGGTCAGAAACGTATTGTATTGATTAACTAGAATTTTAAAATAGGTTGATCCTGGTTGTGCTATGGCTAAAGCATTGTGCTGCCAGCTGAAAGGTCAGTGGTTCAAATCTACCAGCTTCTTTGAGGGAGAAGGATGAGGTTATCTGCTTCCCTAAAGATTACAGCCTTAGAAATTATGGGGCAGTTCTCCTCTGTCCTATAGGCTGTGAGGGCAGTTCGCCTCTGTCCCGTAGGTTATAGGGACTGTCCTCCTCTGTTGTATTACTGTGTGTGGTAACATACACTGTCGTGTGGTGTGATGAGTCATAAAGTTTTGGGAACATGGCATTAGCTCTGCATTCCATTCCCCATGAGTTTTTGTAGTCTTCTAGTGTGGACGCTACCACACACACGACTTCCATGCGGTTAAGTGCCGTCCAGCTGGCTTTGCTGCTAGCAACCCTGTATGTAGTTCTCTCACCACGAAGCAATGGATAGGCTCTGTCCACTGACCTTGGGGTGGACAGTCCAGTGCGTGTTGAGAAGCCACTCCTCTCATTCTCATTCATGCGTGTACACGTCACATTTAAGGTTTTATAACATAGATGTTTTTGGATAGTTTTGAATAATTGTAATTAGCACTTCCTCCTGCCAGGCTAGACTTAATTCTCAAGTCTCAAGAATGTTCACTGCTGATGTCTTTATGTGACTGATGGGCACGGTTCTAATTTAGTCATTGTTATGTGCCATTGAGTCAGCATTGCCTCTTAGCGACCCTACATAGGGCTTCTGAGGCGTCTTTCTCCTGTGGAGTGGCTTGTGGGCTCAAACTGCTGCCCTCGTGGTTGGCAGTCTAGTGCTTCTACGACAGAGCCTCTGTGCCCCCGACGTATTGAATATAGTGCCTTATACAAGCTTTGTGCGTGGAATCTGCTTGTGTTCAGAGAAAAACATCTTGAAAATAGTTAGCCTTTCTTCATTCTGCGTAAAGCATGAAATTCAACAAATGTCTTGTGAAAAGAAGGCTGTTTTGTCCTTTGAGGCTTTCTCTACCCACGTACCCTCCTTGTGAACTTCAGAGCTGTGGGGGCAGGGCCAATGTCCTGTTTGGGGTACCTGGCTGTGGGAGGGGCACCATCGTGTCTCCTCACCCTCCATCTGTCCTGTCCCCTCTTTACAGAGGCGCCCAGGGACACCTCAGTCTGCTGTCAAGGGGAAGGTGTTGGCCATGGCAGCTGCCCCCACCTCGTTGAGGCTCTAGGTCATCCTGTGATGGGGGCTGAGTCTGGGGGGGGCAGTACTGGTGGGGATGGGGAGTGCTCGCTCCTGCTCAGTCGAGGGGTGCCCCAGGGCTGCACTTGAGCAGCCCAGCTGACGATGATCGTGGGGCCCACAGAGCACACCGTGTGACTGAAGATGCAAGCAGGGTGCTCAGTAGCTTCTTTTCTGGCCCCCCTTTGTGATCCGCAGGTGGTTTCATCAAGGCAGCAACCCGTACACAGGGACCCCCGACTGGCTCTACACAGGGGGCTACTTCGAGCGGAACTTCGCGGACTGCCCAGACATCTACTGAGGGCTCCAGGGCCCCTTGGGGGGCCTGGAGGGCTGAGAGGCTGGGCGTCCCCTTGCACCGACGGCTTCAGGGTGTCGGTTACGGCTGAAACCAGCTTTTCTAACATTCAAGTTCACAGAGGTCACGGAAGTTCACAGAGGTCACGTCGTCCCTGATCAAAGATTCCATTCTAATTCACTTTTGATTGCCAAAAATTGTCCCACTATTGAGGTCTCTTCATAAAGAGTCACTTGAGGTCAGCACGCTCTGTTAAGGGTTCAACAGGAACATTCCTTCCAGCCCCTTGTATGTGTCCGAGCCTGACGTGGTTTGTTCAGCTCTGGTACCTCCTGGTTACTGAATCTGTCACGAACGAGGTGGAAGAAGGGGCCCACATCCCTCCCTGGAATACAGTGGCAAGAGGTCCCTGCACCTGCCCACACTCGACCGACTGAGGACAGATGGATCCTGAAAGGCGTCCTGCAAGGCATCCTCTTAACAGCCTGTGGTTCTGTCTCGTGAATTATGATCATTCCGAAGTGAAGATCAGCAAGCAAGCACTGACGAATGAAACGGAGAATTGTCAGAGTCTGTATTTTTTATCAGTCTTCGATAATGTAAAGATTACTTTAAAAATATTTAACTTGAAACAACTTGACTAGTATTTTGCTGAAGAGCAAGGTCTGCATTAATCAACAGCTGTCCCCTGTACCACGTGAAGCATTGTCATCAAGTCCAGGACAGCCACGCACCCCGGGGTGGGAGGAAAAGAGCAAGACTGCTCCCGTCCGCCCAGCCCAAGGCTCCGAGCCCCCGTGGACAAGCCGGCCTCTCCGGAGGGGTCACCTCACACCTTGCATGTGGCTGTAGCACCCATGTGTCTGTGGTCCCAGCATGCATGCTTGGAGCATAAGACACTCACATCTGGCTGTCCACCGGGGAGGCACCAAAGCAGAATCTGCTTACAGTGTGGCAAATTAAAGTTATTTCACAACAAACCAGGTGTGTTCACCGGGCCTACATCTTTGCCAAGCCCTCGTTCCCTTTCTGTAGGGAGTCAGCGCCGTCCCGTGGCGGAGGTCTGCTGTGTACGTGTGCTCGTTCACACATGTGTGCACACACACACACGCACAGTTGTGTGGTGCATAGGCAGCGTGAGGGTGTCATCACTGTGTCCAGGGTCAGTGGTCCTTGTCACTGCACACTCGGGGAGCTCTGGGTGGACAGCGCTGGACGGCAGCGTAGTGCTACAGTGCCTGTGACCGCGCATGGCCCCCGGAGCCCGAGGCCCTCGTCAGCTGCACATCTCCTGTGTGGACCTACCAGAAGGCCACCTGTGCTCTCAGGACTGCGCTGGGAAGGACCGCCGCCTAGGGAGGGCCAGAGGGCAGCATCCCCGGCAGAAGCCAAAACATTTCCAACAGCTGAATTTAGAGCTCTGGCTGCTTCAGGTGTGCTGTGAGTTAGCGTGCTGGGCTGCAAGGTCGGCGGTTCAAGCTCACCAGCCGCTCCTGGAAAATCCTACACAGGGTCACTCTGGGTCGGAACCAACTCGACGGCACTTCACAGCAACAACAGACGGCTCCTGGTTCTTGGTGCCTGATGATTGGCAGGGATCCCTGGTGGCGCAGTGCTGAGGACGAGGCTGCTTTTGTGGAGCTGTGGTCTCGGAAACCCTTAGGGAGCAGTTCTGGCGACAGGGTGCAGGAAGGTTGACACTTCCATGACCTTTCTGGGGGCCAGGCTGTCTCTGTTAGTGCTGGTCAACCACGTGGGCACCGTGCTGTATTCCAGAGTACCGGAGACAGGAGAGGAAAGCTAAACCAAGAAGCAAGTCAGAGTTTAGACGAGTTATTTCGCTTTTGCCTACCCTTTGGTTTTTTTACTTCGGGTTCTGCAAACACTACCAAGAAAGCTCATGCCTGAACTTGGTCACTCTTGGCTCCTGAATGCCCCTGCATCTCATAGCATCTCAGGGGAGAGACTGACTGAAAGGTACCCCCGGTAATGGGGCATTTTGACCTGTGTGGAAACCGCCTTCCTGGTCTCTGGTGGCCTGGACACAAGGCCTCCAAGCTGTGGGACAAGTCACTTGACTTACAATGGCCTTCTGGAGTCAAAAGCAAAGCAGATTTTCCCCGACAGACTTCAGAATTCAGACCTTCCTTCTCCTGGAGTTCGAATCATGGTGATGGGTTCAATGCATTCAGAGTCCAGGTGGGAGTGTTCTGTAAGATGATGTCACGGGGCCCACTGGCATAGACTGGAGGACCGTAGTGACCTCTGACCCCACTGGACTATGCCCATGGCATGGGGTCAGAGTTGGCTGCCCTCGGGGTCTCCCAGGAGTAAGCCCCTAGAACCTGCTCTTCTTGAGGAAGCCACACACCTGTCTGCTGAGAAAGGTGCTAGAGCAGCAGCTGACCTCCCCAGGGAGCCCCAGGGAACAGACCCAGAGCCGCTTGGCTGTGGCCAGGCCCTCCAAGGAGCAGCTGGGGAACGCCCTTGGCCTCCATCACCCTTTTCAGCCTCCGTCCTTGGTGCTCGCATGTCTTTTGCTCCCTGAGCTCAGTTCCAGCTCTGCTGGATCGCATTCTGGGCCGGAACCAGCGTCGCACCATGGCTGCTGTGGCTGCAGGGCCAGAGAACCGCCCTGGGAGGCCTTGACCAAGCCGGAGCCGCTGGCCATTGGGCCCGGTGAGCTTGGAGCTGCCAGCTGGGGTGTGGATGTGAGCATGTGGCTGTACCATCTGCTGTTGTCAGAACACGGTCAGGAAGTCAGAACAGAACTCCAGGAATGGCTGAGATGCCTCCCACGGTCCGCAACACTTCCTCAAGGACACTGTGCTCTTCCGGGGATGGGTGTCTCACAAGCCCCAGTGATCCCATGTGAGGCAGACACATTGAACCTCCAAAGCACTGCTAGCCCGTAGCCTGGTGGTCGCATGAGTTGTGGGGAGGGGCATTGGGGAGTCCTGCGTGGAAGAATGGGAACAGGACAAGAGCAGATGTTTCCACAAGTCCTCCCGCTTCTCTTGTCTGATGTTTGGACTTGCACCCATCTCCAAACACTGTCCCTGTGGACCCCCCATAATCTCACGATGCAGCTTGTAACCACCCAGCATCCCTGCAGTCTGCGTCCTGCGTCCCCACCATGCCATGTGTTCTGTGAGGTGCCCTGGGTTTCTGTACGGGGGCGGGAGGGGGGGGACTTGACACACAGACACATGTCTCTCTGTGTGTGTCCTTCCGTCACTCCAAAAATCCTTCACTAACATCTCTGTGCTCCTCTCTGCATGGCGTGAAAATGTCAGGCAAGCGTGCGCATTCTCAACATCGATTTATTTCTATGATTCTCAGTCATTGTGGACATCCACAATGACTGAGAACCAACCACACTTGGATTTAGAGAGGACTGTGGACAGGTCCGTGAAGATTAACGTTCCACTCCAGCTCTAAATAAAGGCTCTGTGATGGGTTGCTTTGACATTTGTTTCCCATCAGGCAGTTTTCGCTGTCTGGGCTGCTGTTGCCCTCCGGGGATGGGCGGTAAATCACCTGCAGACACGTCTTCACACCCAGGGGTCAGGGGTCTGGTGGTCTGTGCTTTGAGATGGGCCAGGCAAACGGGTGGTTTTCAAATGTGTGGGCTTGATTGGTGGAGAGGGAGTAAGGGGCACCTGGGGTCCCTTCGGTGGCACACTGGGTGGGAGGCAGGGCCAGTCCTCCAGGCAGTGAGCTTGAGTCCACTCCTCTCCAGGGTTGCGGGAAGCACACAGCCTCCCCCTTCCCAACTTCAACCCCAAGGGGTCCAGAAGCTGTGTTCCCAGGGCAGGCTGAGCAGAGGCCACCATGACCACTTAGGGGTGTTTAGTCCCCTAGGAATGCCCTTGGAGCATGGATGCAGGTCTCTGCACCTAACACTACATCCGGTGAGAATGCCCGTTGAGCCCACAGCCCTGCCAGGTGGCCACCCGGGGAAAGAGGGCCGGTAAGCGGGAAACGCCAGCAATAGTGAACTTCACTGTTAGCTCTGTGGTATTTGAATTTCAACATATTCACACCGTCTTGTAATCACCCCACCGTCAAGATATAGAACACTATGGTCACCCCAAAAAGTCTCCTCGTGGCCCCTGGCACCCCTGATTTGCCTCGATCCGAAGCTTCCTCCCATGGAAGGGGTGAGCTGCAGTTGGCCCTGGTCTCCCTGTCGGTGGACGGTGAGGTGGTTTCCACCTTGAGGCCGTGATGGAAAAGGCCCTGTAGACTGGCCTGCAGGGTTTGCTGGCAACATGTGATTTCTCTTGGGTGAATCTAGGGCCAGATTGGCTGGGTCATACATACAGCAGTCATATGCTGACATTCACAAAGAAATGGCGTGTGTTCCAGTCTGAGCAGAGCCCCTTCAGACTCCCACCAGCTGCTCCTCAGAAACCCTATACAGGGTCACTATGAGTCGGAACCAACTCGGCACGTAACAACACTGACAGTGTGCCTGTTTGCCATCTGTGTCTCTCCTCTCTGGAGAGCGGTCTTCCTGGAGTTGGCCCTTGTCTTCCAGGAATGCAGGTGCCTACCGCAAGCCTTGCCTGTCATCAGAGGCCGGGGTTCTCCAAAGGGTTGTGCCCTTTGTTTCGGGGTAGGGTTTGTTTATTGTCAAAGAAGTCATCGAGGATCCAGGTAGTTGGCCTGGATCCCGGTAGCTGGATGCCCACATCTTGGCAATGCTGCCTTATTTTTCTAGACACGGCCGGCATTTTGCAGACATTTCCCACACATTTTAATCAGTATAAATCAACGGTCAATGCTACAAACTCCCTGCCTATGTGTGGCTTGTGACCAGCTGGAGCAGGGAGCTCTGGGGCGAGCCAGACCTTGGCGTGAACACATGGGGGTTTACAGGCCACTGTGCAGGGGCCGACTGCCCAGAGAAGGGAGGGGACCTGGGAAGCTCCCAACAGCCTCGGCAACTGCCTCATCGGAGCCGTTGCCACTGAGTTGGCTTTGACTCATAGCGACCCTGTGTGTGTGTGTGTGTGTGTTGGATTAGAACTGCACTCACTTCCTAGCAGTTTCAATGGCTGAGCTTTGTTTTTAAAAACTTTTTATTGTGAATTAAGTGAAGGTTTACAGACAAGATCTTCAGCTTTGCATTCAACAAATCACACACTTGGTTTCAGCTCAGTGACGGCAGTTTCCTCCCTGTAACAACAGTTGTCCCGCCTCCTCCTGTGGTTCCTGTTTCCATTCCACCCACCTTCCCATCTCTTCTCAACTTTGTCCTTAGGAAATGTTGCCCTTTTGATTGTGAATGATTGACCATTCCCATGGGGAGCTTACCTCACTATTGTCCTCATCTATAAACCCATCTACTGCTTGGCTGAAAGTTGGGCCATGAGGGTGGTTGAGGGTCATAGTCTCAGGTAGCTGCAGTCTCTTTTTGACCCATAAACCTGGTTCTATATATGTACATACATACATAAATAGATAGATAGCTACATATACATGTATGTGCTGTGTTGTGGAGTCGGTTCCAACTCATAGCAGCTCTGCATAGGGTTTCCGAGGCTGTAAATCTTTATGGGAGCAGAAAGCCTCATCTTTCTCCCGCGGAGCAGCTGGTAGTTTTGAACTGCTGACCTTGTGGTTCACAGCCCGATTTGTAAGCACTATGCTACCAGAGCTCTCTCTCTCTCTGTGTATATATATATACACACACACACACACACACACACAATTATGTTGGTAAGTAGAAGGTTTATTAATTGCTATTTTCAAGTTAACCAACATATATATACATAGAAATAAAATGATTTTGAGTGGTCCACATTTTCTCCCACTCTATCTGGGACCCTCTAATGTGATCCCTTTCAGAGCAGTTGGTAATGGTACCAGGCACCATCTAGTTAAAGACTGATTTTCTAAAAGTAGATTGACTCAAAGTCATCTCTAGGTGGACTCGAACCTCCATCCTTTGGGTTAACAGCTGAAATACAAGGACTCCTCCTACTAGATTTCCTCAAACCCACTGGCCCCACTGCCCCGGATGTCTCAAGGTGACGGTTGTTCACTCACATGTCTGCGGAGAAGTCTATACTTTTGCTTTTTTCTTCTCTTTTGAGCCATCTGAAAACATGAGAGCTGAGCTCAGGAGATGCTGAAGTTGGGGTCTGCTCTTGGTTCTCCACCTGGAAGCGATACGCTGCCTCAATTTCCCCGTGGTCTCCTGTGTGGGGATGAGTTGTACTGGCCTGCTATCCCTCTCCTGTGAAACCAGAGTGGACTTTGTGTTTTTCCTTTGTTCTTTTGTTGCCAGGGTGCAGTACAGTGTTGTGGAGACCAACTCAGCTTGCCTGCTCTCGGGGGCTCCTGGACAGGCTGAAGAATTACTGAGGACCCCAAAGAGCTTTGGCTCCCTGTGACTTTAACCTATGGATATTAACCTTGCTGGTGGTGGCTATGTGATGTGGAGTTGGTTACGACACATAGGGAGCCTGTGTAGGGTTTCCAAGGCTGCAGATCTTTATGGGAGCAGAAAGTTTCATCTTTTTCCTGTGGAACAGCTGGTAGTTTCGAACTGCTGACCTTAAGGTTTGCAGCCTGACTCGTAACCACTACGCTACCAGAGCTCCTTGATGTTTACCTTACTAGACATTCCAATGACACCAAAATACGTACTGGTTAACTTAAAAATAACAATGATAACCCCTCTACTTGTCAACATCATTGTTTTTAAAAAACTGCTGCTTTTTCTTTGATCATAAAACGCGAACTATGGCATTGATTTACACTTCTGCTCATGTCAGGCGAACGGGAGTGGGAGGCTGTCTGCAGTCAGTCAGCTCAGTGACACATGTTTGCAGCCTCTGGAAATCCCACTGTGCTTTCAGGAGAGGCGATTGTGAGAGGCAGACCCATCTCAGGCCACCTGGGAACAAGGGGTCCTGGGGACAGCTTTACTCAGCTTTAAGCAAATCCCAGGCGACCAACCCCTGCCTCACCTCCAATTTATGGCAAATTAACTCGGAGTAACAGAGAGCTGACATTCCTAGTGTCATGAGACGCCTACTTTTTTAACCTTGTGACTGTTTCTATCTTGGGCCCTGGCATCTTGCAGCACTGAATCGGGAATCTGGGAATGCTGGCCTTCCTAGAGCCTGGAGGATCAATGCCCTTTCTGACCAACCTCCAGAAGCACATGGAGGCCCAAGGTGCTAACAACCAGGGTCCAGCCCCTACAGACACTTGCGGGGCATGGCCCAACCAGCGGCGCCTGCCTCTCCCACACCGGCCTCTGTGGTCTTCCAGTTCTGTGGGTTGTAAACTCACTTGGTGGCCTCTCTGAATGCCGGCGGGGCGTGAACTACGCTGGCGGCCCCTGCATGGTCATTTGAAGTCTGGCATTGATGCGCCCGGCCGTGTACAGCGCTCTGGTCGCGCCCCCTTGCAAAGTCCTGGCCCTCACGTCCACCCCTGCCCCGCGGGCTAATGACACGCCAGCGTCGTGAACCCAGAGTCCCCGCCCTCCGCACAGGGGCGCTGTCAGCAGGAACGCGGGCCTCGCGCCTCGGCCTGCAGTTCCCGGCGCCGCCGCTAGGGTCCGCCGCCGCCCCCTATGACACAGCAACAATAGCGGCCTCTCTGGCCCGAGCCGACAGCTTCCTGCGCGCGGCGGCGGGCTGGCGCGGCGTGGGGCGGGGTTGGACTATGGGCGGCCACTCAAACCAATCGCTCGCTACCAGGGGCGGGCCACGTGCCCGCGAAAGACCAATCGTCAAACGACGCGGCGAGCGGGGCGGGGCGAGTGCGGGCTTCCGGCGGGGCCCGGCTGCCGCCGAGGAAGAAGGGAGATCTCCGACAGCGCTTTTCTGTCGAGTGTTGGCGCCGCCAGGTGCGGCTCCAGGGGCGGCCGGAGGGCGGGGGTCGGTGACAGAGACACCGCGGGAAGGACTCGAGGTCCGAGCGGGCCCTGCGGCGGAGGGGCGCCGGAGCAGGGACCCTGGGGTGGGGGCGAGGGGGCGGGGACTCCGGGACGGGGGTCCTCAGGCTGAGGGTCCTGGGAGCGTGGAGGCCCGGCCGCCGGCCCCCGCTACACAGAGGTGGGAGCCCCGAGGTCCCTGCCGGGTGAGAACGTGGGCGTTCGGTGAACAGCGCCCCGGCGGGGTCGGGCCTGCCCCTGGGCTCGGCGTGAGTAAGGAGCCGGCTTTTGTCGAGGTTGCTTTGGGTGCCGGGGTGTCCAGGAAACGGCCCGGGCCGGCGCCCGCGGGGTCTGACGGCTCGGCCTGCGTTTCAGGATGACGACTTCGGGCGCTCTGTTCCCGAGCCTGGTGCCAGGCTCCCGAGGCTCCTCCACCAAGTACCTGGTGGAGTTCCGGGCGGGCAAGATGTCCCTGAAGGGGACGACGGTCACCCCGGACAAGCGCAAGGGGCTGGTGTACATCCAGCAGACTGACGACTCCCTTATTCACTTCTGCTGGAAGGACCGGACGTCGGGCAGCGTGGAGGATGTGGGTGCCGTGGCCAGGCCTGGGCGGGAGGGGGCTGGCGTGGGACCCCTTCTCTACCACTGCTCCCATCGAGCGTGCGTCGTGGGGGTATTAGAGCCCGCTCCTTTGTTCCATCGGAGAGTAAGATGGCTTCAGACCCAAAGCAAGATGAGCTCTGTGACCTTCCCCATCGAGCTCCCGAAGGGCTTGTTGGGGTGACGTTGGCTCCCGCCACCCTGCAGGACCTGATCATCTTCCCTGACGACTGTGAATTTAAGCGGGTGCCTCAGTGCCCCAGTGGGAGGGTCTACGTGCTCAAGTTCAAGGCAGGATCCAAAAGGCTCTTCTTTTGGATGCAGGTGGGTGCCCCGTGGGTTTGCTGCTGGGCCTGACTCGCTCTCAGCATATGAGGTTGGGGACTTGTCCAGGGGGATCTCTGTGGGCCCCCCAGAGACCGACAGGCAACCCGCTACCCCGCCATCTCTGCTGCTGCGCGAGCGCATGCACTTGGCCATGTTGAGAAGACTGGTGCCAGACTGGTGGGCAACCCGTCATAGCTCATGCCTGTCTGTGCCATGGTTACTTCATTTGGTCTTGTTGATTGTTGCCTTGCCCTATGCTAAGTGGACAGGATGCTTCCTGTCCTTGCTCTTCCTGATGCAGACTTCCTGGTGTTGACTGCTCCTTGCACCGCCCCCTGCCCTCGAGCTCATTGTCCAGGTGCCTCACTGTTCTTTGGCTCTGACACTGTGTCCAACAAGGCAGCCTGCTGGGCTGGTCCTCGTCCATGGTGTGCTAAAGACAGTAAACACTGAGGGACGGTCCCATGGCGTGGGTCAAGCCCAGGTGTGGTGGAGTGGAAGTGGCCTGTGGATGGAGACCGTGTGCTGCTGTGCTCTGGGGCCTCTCACCTGTGAGCAGTGGCCACATGCGTTACCCGCCATCATCGTGCTGTCACTGTCCCCCCAGGAGCCCAAGACCGACCAGGATGAGGAGCACTGCCGGAAGGTCAACGAGTGCCTGAACAACCCCCCAATGCCTGGTGCGCTGGGGGCCAGTGGCAGCAGTGGCCACGAGCTCTCTGCGCTCGGCGGTAAGGGCCAGACTCCTTGCTCGCTGTGTTGACAGCCCCTCTGGTTCTGGTCAGCCCACCTGTGCCCCTGCGACCAGCTGGCCCCTAACCCCACGTTTCCTCTCTCCTTCCCTCTCCCCTCACTCAGGTGCACTGAGTACTTCTCTGTCCTGCTGCCGTCAGGCGCGGCAGGTGCTGAACACCTCTATCTCCTCACAGGTGAGGGTGGCCTCCAGAGCCTGCTGGGGAACATGAGCCACAGCCAGCTCATGCAGCTCATCGGACCCGCTGGCCTGGGGGGACTCGGTAACGTGTCTCTGCTGCACATGAATGTGGGGGTGCCCCTCAGCTGAGACTGCTGCCCCGGTCGGTCTTTGTGCCTCATTCTCGGGGACTGGCGGGCGAATTCCTGTGCAGAGAAGTTCTGCTGCTTGGGGCAGGATTTGGATCAAATGCCATTCTTAACTTTGCCTGAGCACGTGACTAGCAGACAGCACATGATTTAGTAGGATGGAACCTTCTAGAACAGTGCTGTGGGCTGCTGCTGCTGCCCCGCTCATCTCAGCCCTGTGCGCTCCCTTCGTGGCCTGTTTTGTGTCAGAAGCAGCTGCCCTCTTCAACTATGATGTTCTGAGCTCTGGCTCCTTGTTCCACAGGTGGGCTTGGGGCCCTGACTGGGCCGGGCCTGGCCAGCTTACTGGGGAGCGGAGGGCCTCCAGCCAGCAGCTCATCATCCAGGTAAGTCCCCTCTCCACCCTCCACAGCTGGCTGCCCCGGCACACCACGGCAGTGGGGTGCGCGTGGTCCTGAGCTCAGGTGCCATGGTCTTCTCTCCACAACCCCGTGCAGCTCCCGGAGCCAGTCGGCTGCGGTCACCCCCTCCTCCACCACCTCTTCTGCCCGTGCCACCCCAGCCCCTTCTGCACCAGCAGCCGCCTCTGCGACCAGCCCGAGCCCCGCGCCCAGTTCAGGTAATGGAACCAGCACAGCAACAAGCCCAACCCAGCCCATCCAGCTGAGTGACCTGCAGAACATTTTAGCCACTATGAACGTGCCAGCAGGGGCAGGCGGCGGCCAGCAAGGTAAAGGAATGCGCGCTGTCGGCTCCAGGAGGCGGGGTGACCGAGCCGGGGTGCCTGCTGCCCGCCCACTCTCCAGGGGATGGGCACTGCGGTGACAGAGACCAGCCTGAGCTTGCCTGTCCCCTCCCATGGCCCGGAGTCTGGTGGTGTCTGGTGCCTAGGCCAGCGTGAGCCACTGACAGCCTTGGGCTTGCTCCTAGTTGACCTGGCGAGCGTTCTCACGCCGGAGATCATGGCTCCTATCCTGGCCAATGCTGATGTCCAGGAGCGTCTACTGCCCTACCTGCCTTCAGGGGAGTCGCTGCCCCAAACCGCAGAGGAGATCCAGAACACGCTGACCTCACCCCAGTTCCAGCAGGTGATGGTGGGCGGGCGGCTGGGGGTTGACAAGGGGTGGGAAAGGCCCTCTGGTGCGAACGAAGCGCAGCTCAGCCCTGTGGCTCTTCCTGCAGGCCCTGGGCATGTTCAGCGCAGCCCTGGCCTCGGGACAGCTGGGCCCCCTCATGTGCCAGTTTGGTCTGCCTGCGGAGGCTGTGGAAGCCGCCAACAAGGGCGGTGAGTGCCCGTGCCCCCTTCGCGTCTCATGTCCACCCAGGTCTCTCAGAGGCGGGGCCCTGTGTGGGGTTTGAGCCACCTGAGGGCAGCGCACACAGAAACAGCCTTGTGGTTTCCAACATGTTTCAGATGTGGAAGCATTTGCCAAAGCTATGCAGAACAATGCCAAGTCAGAGCCGAAGGAGGGTGACTCCAAAGACAGGAAGGACGACGAGGAGGACATGAGCTTGGATTAAGTTATTTGTCTCTTAGAGAGGGGCCTTGGTAGTTGGGACTTCTGCACTTGTGCAAACCTTCGCACCCATGTAAACTTCCCTAAAATAAAAGTCTCTTTCTTTTACCTGCTAACTGTAGGACCCTGTTCCCTGGGCTGGGGCGCCACACTGGCCTGGCAATCTCAGTCTAGAAGGGGGCTACTGAAGGCTCCCGCCTCACTTGTGCTCCAGGGTTGGCGGAACCAGGGGCTCTGCTCTAGGGGACAGTGTGTAAAGGGCTGTCCCAGGTGGCCATCTGGGGCAGTAGAGTTGAGACATGTCAGCAGCGGCATCTGACAAGACTCACACTCTGAGGTAAGGCACTTTAATTTCCTGTGTGTCCTTACTCCTTCAGAAATGGCAAGAGGAAAGGTCATAATCAACCAAGAGAGAAAGTACAAAACCCCATTTTATTCTTAAATCAAGAAAATACCAGCGTGAAATACAATTGATCACCGAGTCTAGGGAGGGGGTAGCCACAGTGTGTGACACTGGCCTGGTTACCCCTCCCTGCTGGCAGGGCTGGGGGAGACGAGACCATGTCCAGGGGCCCCCAAGAGGGCTGCTGTTGAGCTATGTGACTGGGCAGCCGCCGGTCCCCACCGCCCCCTGGACGTCAGCAAAGTGGGTCACAGTGACAGGGTCCCCATTGACCAGCAGGTTCCTCATGCAGCCGTGGTAAGCTGGGAGCTGTGGGGTGCTGTATGTGGACTCTAGGGTGCAGAGAGAGCAAGGCTGGTGTGAGCTCACCCTGGGCTGGCTCCCTGACCTCCCAGGCCACAGATAACACTCACCAGGCAGGCCCCCCAGGTGCAGAGGTGTGAGGGCACTGGCAGTGGCTGGTGCGGGGCCCAGAGTGTGGTTGTTTCTGGAATCCACCTCCAGCCGAATGGCAGCTCCAGCCTTCGTCACTGTGGGCACAAGCTCCTTGTGGGCCCAGGTGCCTGCCCTCCAGCACAGGGGTGGGCTAGGAGGCTCAAGGGGACTCCCCAGTGCCAAGGACTGGATTTATGTGCTGCTCCCACCCTGGCTCCATAGTGGGGGCGCCCTACCTGCAAGACGGTGCCATTGCCCATCACACAGAGCCCTGGGCTGTGTTACCACTAGTGAGAATTCACCTGCTCCATCGTCTGCTCGGAGGAGGATCTGTGGAGTGGAGATGGTCAGCAGTGCTCGTCCACCTGAGTCCATGATCTAGGGCTTCCCCACCAACTCACCTGCTTCTCCAGTAGCTGCAGCTGCAGGGAGGGGGGCACTTGCCCTTGGCCCAAGTGGAAGACCAGGCCAACGGCTGCCTGAGGCCGGATCTCCAGCTCCAGCTGCAGACCTGGTCCTGGGGCCCCTGGGAGGTCTGCAGAGATGGGTGAGGGGAAAGGAAGGAAGCACTCAGATCCCCTCCCTCCCCCCAGGGGCACAGAGGAGGAGTTGCCTACACCCCCTACACACCTAGAGTGATGACGCCCCCACTGTCAGCAAAGAACAGGCCCGCCTCCAGGGAGCCTGAGAAGCAGGGTATAACCCCTGTGGTACGTGTGGGGGCTCCCAGAGTCTGCCCATCCCATCGCAGCCTCTTCAGACAGCCACTAAATCTTGAGCTGTTGAGAGCCACCTGGGAGGCAGAAAAGGGCAGAGGAGAAGTGGTCAGGACCCCGGCCTGTGGTTGGGCAGGTGGATGCCTGGGGGTAGGCTTCTCACCATGAGCTGGGAGTTGTTGCCAGGTGGGAGACCCCCCACAAAGAGGGAGCTGGGTTGACAGTACTGAACGCCCTGGTATCGGCGGGGTCTTTCCGGACTCCTGGCCAAGGTTCCATCTATCACCAGCTGGATGTGTCTCGTCTCCCAGCGAACAGATACCTGGGGTGGGCAGGGAGTGTCAAGGGGCCTCTGAGAGCCTGCCCAATACCCCCGCCCCTTCTGGGCCCCCTCCCTAGCCTCTCACCTTGTGCCACTGGCCAATCTGCAACTGCTGGTGGCTCTGAACACGAAGCTGAGGTCCGGGACCTTCTGTCTTTGCGACCAAGTGTCCGTGGTCCAACAAGAGAACCAGGGAGTGGCAGCCGGGTGTCAGGGGGGCAGCGAGCAGCAGGAGACCGTCGGGGGTGTGAGGCTGTACCCATATGGACGCAAAGGACCTGGGAGCCCAGAAAATCTGTCAGCAGGCAGTGCCCACCCTTGCTAGCCTATCCAATCCTGCCTGACCCAGCCCAGCCCCTTTGCTTGCCACCTCACCTGCCCCAGTTCCGCTGGTGCCAGGTACTTTGGGGGACTGAAAATTGCAGGTAGCTGGACAGGGTACCCCCTAACTGGTAGGCACCTATGTGGCTCCTGAGGGGCTGGGACAGTGAGCAGGTGGGGTCCTTGGCAGAGTGGCGGCTGCGGCGGGAAGCCTGGGGGACAAGAGTGATGTGGAGACCACCTACCGGGGGCCCCCACCTGTCTGCTGCTCCAGCCAGGGACCTGGCCCACCTTCTGCACAGAGGCCTGAAGTCCTGCTGGCCCCGCCCTCAGGCTCTGGGCCTGGGGAAGTGGAACACAGCCTGCACTTATGTTGGTACCGCCCAGGCTCTGCTGCAGGTCCAACACCCACTGTGGTCCCAGGAGCCTGCGGGTGAACAATAGGACAGCACTGGGGACAGCTCCACGAGACCCATTCCCACCCACCTGCTCACAGTCCCCCCACCTACCTGCTCACCGTCCCCGCCCACCTGCTCACCGTTCCTGCCCACCCACCTGCTCACAGTCCCCCCACCTACCTGCTCACCGTCCCCCGCCCACCTGCTCATCGTCCCCCCGCCCACCCGCTCACCCTCCCCCCTGCCCCCAGCTCACCGCTGCACAAAGACATTGCTGATGCAACCACTGAAGTTCTGGAAGGTTCCAGACTCAGGCAAGCCTCCTAGGAGGAGCTTTGGGGACCCCTCGGGCTGTAGCTGAAGTCCAGGGGGCGGGCCTCGGTGGGGCTTTGTCTGTTGCAGCTGATCGTCCACATAAAGCCAGACCCTGGGTGAGGGAGCAGTGAGTCCCTACTCGGCCCCCATCCCAGCCCACTGCCTACGCACCCGGAAATGGCTGGAAGGGGCCCAGTGGCTGTGCTCACCCGGTGGCGTTGCTGTAGAAGGTGACATAATGGGGGGCACCATCAGCAAAGCGCCCTCGGGTTTTCACCTCTGTCCTTAGTAGCCGGAGGGTCACGTGACCCTGCTGCAGGGACACCTGGCATGGCCCGTCCTGTGGACAGAGGACAGGCCAGCGAGTCAGGCCACCCCAGTCCCACACTGCTACTGCAGCAGGTTGGGTCAGTTTGGGGTGCACCGTGGGTGAGGAGACGCACGGGGGAGGCGCGGTAGAAGAGCAGGCCACGGTCCTGGGTGCTGCGGAAGCCAAAGCCGGAGTAGACATTGCCGGTGAGAGGTGCCACATCTGGGAGCTCCAAGGGCAGGAAGCCGTGACCATGGAAGGTCATGACACGTTCTATCTGCAGGGAGGGGGTACTGAGTGTCCCTGTGGGTCTGGAAGGGCACAGCTTGCCAGGACAGCTCAGAAGGGGGCGCTCACCAGAAGGTTGGCTGTACAGCCCGCACTGATGCCTGTGGTATTCAGCCTCTTGAGGTCCACGTACTTGCCCAGGGCTTTGATGCCCTTGATGCAGCCTCGGATCGATCCTCCGGATGGGAAGAGTCGCCATAGGCTGGGAGCAGGGTCAGGGTGACGGTCAGGGTGGGAGGTAGGCAGTGGTGAGGGACATGTTCCACATTCCTGATCTGTCCCCCAAACCCACAGGAGCCCGGACCATGGGTGGACAGGCTAAGGGATGCTGGGCATCCCAACAAGATCTGTGAGCTCACCTCATGGGCAGCAGGTCAGGCGGCACGCCCCCCAGGTAGTAGGAGTTGGCAAGTTCTAGAGAGTTCTCCTGCTCCACACTGAACACTGTGACCCGCTCCACACGTACCAACACCCGCTTCCGGGCCCCACCAAGCAGGAACACCTGGACCTGGGGGTGGGAACTGTCAGGCCAGCTGCAGGAGTCGCCTCTCACCTCCCCCACCAGCCTGCCCCTCACTCACTGCCTTGCTGGCTGCAGTCAGTATTGGAGAGGAAGGCAGCATGGGGGTGGCTTCCTTCAGGCCTGTACCAAAGTCATAGAGAAGGACCAGGCGGCCCTCCTGGACAGCCAGGCACAGGAACTGGTCCTGTGGATGGGCTAGGGGTTAGCATGAGGGCAGCAAGAGTGCGGCTACCACAGGAACTAGCCCTGGGAACGGGCTAGGGAAGGGAGGGGACTGGGATGGAGCCAGGGTCTATACAAAGACTGAGTGGACTTGGTGGTGGTATGGTCAGCCATAGGAGGGAGGGGCGGGGTTGGGTGGGATGTGGGATGTGGGATGTGGGATGGATCCCACCCCAGTGGGTGGGACTATGCCTCGTGTTGCAGGAAGAAGACCACGCCATAGTAGGACACCAGTCGGAGCTCCTGATCAAAGCGTTTGGTGTGACTCAGCTGTCTCTCGAAGGTGATGAAAGCGAAGCCGGAGCCATCCAGGTAGGAGCCGTCTGTGAGCCAGGGGTCGCCCGTGGACTTGGAACTGCATGTTGAAAGTCAGAGGTCAGCGGGTGGTGGGAGACCATCCAAGGTGGGGAGAGATTGGGCCCACGTACCGGGCACAAGGCTTGTCAACAGCCGTGTTCAGTCGGAAGGTCTTCTGGAAGTTATACAGGCTGATGACCTCCTCATTCAGGGTACTCATCTCGATGCAGCCGCGGTAGCCGGGGAAGCGGAGGGGCAAGGGGGGCTGCGGGCACCACACAGAGTCAGGAGCATGGGGAAGACCCCCCCCTCACCCAGGGCAGGCCATAGGGAAGGTAGTTCAGATGGCAGCAGACGGGCTTTTGGCTAGACACCAGGAAGGATTCAAGACCACATCTAGTGGGTTATCCCCAGGCGCCAGGGGGGTGGGGGGTGGGGGCGGGCTCACCGTGAAGTTGCTGGGGTAGCCCCCCACATAGAAGACGAAGTCATCAGACTTAAAGTTGAGCAGCCCCTCGTCCCCTGGGGCCACTGTATCGCCTTTGGTCTCATGAATCATTTGCTTCTCCATTGTGATGGACATGTGTCCGAACTGCAGGGTCCTTGAAGACAGGGGAGGGGTGAGAGTGACCACACCCCGTGGAGGCACCAGCCTGGGGCAGGGCAGGGCTGGGCTGGGTGCAGAGACCTGGCCTGTGGGTCTCAAGGCCACATGGGCGGGGATGCACATCAGGACAATGTAGGTCTCACCTGTCAATGCTGACAGCTGCAAACTGCTCCCCAATGTCCTCATCGATGCTGAGGGTTGTGGGGCCAGCCTCCCCGAGGCGGTATACCCAGTGTACTTTCTGGTCTCGAAGCGCCACACCCATGAAGTCTCCGGTGGCCTATAAGGGCCGGAGGCTCGGTGAGGACATAGGCCAGGGAGCCCACCTACCTCCCACCTGAGGGCACTCTGCCTGCCGGGTACCTGGCGGCTGCCCATGTATAGTACGAAGTAGTCCCCAGCAGCCTGTTCAGGGGCTGGCTCTGGACTCTGCAGGTAGAACTTGAGGGCAGTGTACGCAGCCAGGTCAGACAGGTCTCGGGGTGTCCGCAGCTGTACCCCAGAGCGACCGTTGAACTTCATGGACACCTTGACCTGAGCAGAGAATAGGAGACTATCAGCAACCCCTGGGACCCACGCCCACCTCCCAGGCTCCCAGACTCTCCCTGGATGTCAGTACTCCTGTGGGGTCCATGCCCACCTTGTTGGCTGCACCCCGGGCCTGGGCGATGAGCTGGCGCACGCGGGCGATGCTGGTGGACAGGGCCAGGCTGGCGTTGTGGCTGTCGCGGCCTTCCAGCAGGTTCAGTTTCGCTAACAGCTGTGGCAGCGTCTTCTCCAGGGTAGACACTAAGGTGTGGAAGATGGCCCTGAGAACAAGGTACCCACCTCACCCAGGTCCAGGAGGATGGCCAGTCTCCACACAGAGAAGAGAGGTGGCCTGAGGCTCCCCATACTGCGGTGCCCACCTGAGTGGCCAGCGCTGCGCACCGCTTCGTCCAAGTCCTCGCTCCGCAGACCCCCAAACTGGCCTTGCCACCGCTCCAGGTTGCTCTGCATGTCCTGAAGCCGGGACTGGACACGTGCGGCCGTGTCCTGGGCCTCGGTGGCCACAGCCTTGGAGTGGGCAATCTTCTCGCTTGTGGAGTCTGTGGTGGGCAGGGTTTTCTGCTCAGTGGCTGGGTGAGGCCCTTGTGGGGATCCCAGGGTTGACACAGGGTGGTCACCCCAGGTCATGGGGCCTCGTGCCACCAAACCACCCTACAACCTGCTCAGATGCCCTCTCTCATGACAGATATGACACCTCTCCTCTCATGCCAAACCTGGGGTCACCTGGCCCCTTCTGTCTGCCATTCCACTCTCAGCAGCTGCCCCTCGTCACTGGCCATGACACTGCACTGCCAGCACACTGACCACTTGGCCTCCCCATCCTCGCCCATGTCCCAGGCTCTATCGGTCACTCTCCAGAGCTGGCCCTGACCACCTAAGTCCAGATCACTTGCAGACTCCATCCAGCGTGTGCCACGTCTCTTCTGACCATAGCTGCACCCCACCACATCCCGCCAGCCCTTGGTCTGGACCCTGGGTGTCAGTCACGGCTATGTTCACTAAGGCGGGGTGCACGGGATCATCCACACCTTCGGCCACACTGTATGTACTCCCCATGGTCAGACCCACCTGGACCATGCCTGGGAGAGTCTCTCAGACCAGGGGAGGGCAAGATGAGAAAGGAGCTCCGTACCTGTGTCCATGGCCAGCATGGCCTGCACATCCTGGATCTGGGCGGCCAGCTGGTCCTTCCTGGCATGGATGTCTCGGAGCCTGGTCCCAGCAACTTGCAGGGCATTCCACACTGTGGAGGCACTGGGGTCACTCCAAGAAGCCCGCCTGGGCGCGCGCGTGCGCACGCACGCACGCGCACACACACACACACACACACACACGCACATGGATAACCTGACATGAGAACAGGGTCTTCCTCATGACTCGCGCGCGCGCACACACACACACGCACACGCACATGGATAACCCGACACATGAGAACAGGGTCTTCCTCATGACACACACCTGAGTCAGCGACTATCAGCTTGATGGCCGAGTAAAGGAGGCAGGATTTGTACACTGCCTACAAAGCCACCAGCTTCATGTCTAACCCACCCCTGCTGACCGGACGCTCACCAGGGCCCAGTCGTTGTTGTCCATGGCGGCTTGCCTCCTCCAGGGCACTGCTGTTGGTCAGCAGCTCGCGGGCTCGGGCCGCCAAGCCCTGTTGCACCACCGTCTGTGGACACAGGGACAGAAGGCAGTCATGCCCAGTCCTCAGTCTGCATGGGGCGCCTGCCAGGGCTGTGACTCACCGCCCCTACGTGGCTGGGACTTACCGCCCATGCGTGACTGGCCTCCAGCAGAGCGCTGCCAGCAGCACCCTCAGCTGCCTGCACGGCTTGTAGGATGCTACCATAGGCGTTGGAGGCTTCGATGGCTCTCTGGATGACGCGGTCCTGGTTGACGCTGAGGATGATGCTATGGCCAAGTTGGTCAGAGGGGCATGAGGTGGTCTGGCATCTTCAACCAGGCCCTCAGCCTCCCATTGATCAGGGGTCTTCCATCACTGGTGGACCCTTTCTGCTCATTTCTGCCAACCCAAGCCCTGTCTTCCGGTGGCACTTAGGGCTACCTAGCTCCTTCCCAGAGGGAAACTCTTCCCCACAACCCTACAGACCAGCTGTGCCCCTTGGGGCCTGGGCTGCACCCTTGGGCCCTGCACCTGGACAGGTTTTGTGCCAGCTGGTCCAGCTGCTGTGCGTGGGCCTCAGCGGCCTCCACCAGGTCCACCTTGCTGCTGGCTGGGGAAAAGGCCCGGATCTTCTCGAGCAGTGGCATCTGAGCCCCATCTAGGCTGGCGGCCAGACGTTCATACTCCTGGGCAGGCAGGCAGTGGATGGCTTAGTGGGACCTCAGCTGCCCCCACGAACTGCCCACCTGACCTGGCTCCCCCTCAAACGCTCCCGTCCGTGGCAGGCATGGGTGTGCACCTCCTTAGCTTCATCTATGCCCCGCAGGGTTCCTGAGACTCGGGCTAGGGTATCGATGGCGGCCTGTAGGATGCTCTGCAGAGTAGTGTTGTCCCGAGACAGCTCCTGCTTTCGATGCTGGAGACAGAAGGGGGAAGGGGAGGTGAAGAGTTGTGGTGACGTGACGTGGGGCAGGGAAGGGAGGGTAGAGGGCCTGCACTCTCACCAGGACTTCCTCCAGGCGCTGCAGGTTTCGGCTGTTGAGCCCCTCGGCCTCGAGTGTGAGTCCCACTGCCCGGTTCAGGGCCTCGCGCAGGTCCATGAGACCAGCCTCGTGCTGGGACAGCTGGTTTCGGGCGAGTGTAGCCAGTGCCTGGTTGGCCTCCCAGCGACTTGTCAGCTGTTCTTTCACTTGGGTCAGCACTGCCCGAGACCCGGTCATGAGATCACTCCGATGGCCCTGACCCCTGCCTAGCCCCCCGGTGGTCCTCAAGACCCCTGGAGGCCCCTCCAGCCCACTCTCTGGCCCCAGATGGGCCATCCACTCACATCTCTGTGCCTTGTCCAGCTCCGCTACAGCCACTGCCCGTGGGGGCCCCAGATCCCGGGCCCGCATCTCCCCCAGCAGTCTGTGCACCTCAGCCAGTGTCCGGCGCAGCTGTTCACCTGATGGGGCCGAGGCATTTGCCGGTGACAGGTGGTCTGTCTGGACCATGATTTCTGCAGGTTGGCAGGGAGAGGTGGAACCTCAGATCCTCTGCCCCGACTTCGGAGCCCACGGTCCTTTCGGTTACCACCTGCAAACCTCCACTCCCTGCTGCCCAGCCCACTATCCAGATGGAGAAGTCCCTGAGAGCCGTGAGACTTTGGTGGGGATTGGTTAGCTGCCCAACCCTGCCTGCACTCCAGACCATGTGACTGGCCCAGGGCAACCAGCTCTGCGCTGAGAACCCTGGGCCAGTCCCTACCTCTTAGGGTTCCGGCCACCGCCTGGATAGTGGTCAGCAGTGCCTGCGCCCGGTCCTTCATGGCCTCGGTACTGTCTAAGAGCTGCCTGGCCTGCTGCTGGGCTCCCTCGGCCTGTGGACACAGAGAGAGGCCCCTCAGCATTCCGCCCAGGGCAGCGGGAACTGAGTGGGGGTACGTGTACGTCCCAGGACGTTTGGGGGCTCTCTTGGTGGCAGTATCCTAGGGGATACAGGGCTGTTCTCTGAGGGAACTGAAGGGGAACCCCACTGAGTCCTGCCTGTCCGCCCAGACGCTGTGTGTCCTGCATGAGGCTCCCGCTCTGCTGTTCCAGTGTCTCCAGCTGCACTGAGGTCTCCTGGCGAGGGCCCACAGGGCTCCGGAGCTGGTCCTGGGGAGAGAGGGCAGTGAGGCCCTGGGGGAGTGGTGTGCTCAGGAGTTGACCCTGGGAGGGGGCAGCGAGGCAGGGAAGGCGGATGAATGGTACCTGGAGGTCAGCGATGGACATGTTCAGCCGGTGCAGCCTGGCCCAGGCGGCGGAGCTGGCGTTGATGCCACGCAGCTGCTCTCGGATGGCGGGCAGGAGTGCACTGGCCCGTTCCATGTCGTCCAGGAGCAGTACCACACAGTGGTCACACACTGTGGGCAGGGAGGAGGTCAGCACGGGGGTGGGCATAGGGACAGGACAGGGGAATGTGTCAGCTGAGTCACCGCAGGATCACAGGTTCAGCCAAAGGCCAGAGGAGCAGAGGAGGCCATAGGGGCAAAGCAGGGGGACATGAGGTCAGGGGGTCAGCTGGGGTCATAGGGTTCAGATGGACAGGCTCCTAGGGCTGGCTCAGGGGTCAGATGGGGGGAGGTCAGAGTTGGTCCAAGGAATTGACCCAGCTGGGATGGAGAGGACAAGATTAGTGGAGGGGTCAGCACAGGGATCCTGAGGCCAAAGGGAAAGGTGGCAGAAATCTGGGTGGGCTGGGAGCTTCTCATGTAGATGCCAGGGGTCAGCACAGCTGGGGAAGGGCCGTGTGGACATCAGAGGTCTGGTTTAGGGCCAGTGTAAGGATGGGCATGAGATTCCCCAGTGAAGTCAAGAGGTAGAATTTGGGTCAGCATGGGGCCCGGTGCAGGACACACCTTCACAGTGGACGCTGGGGCCCCCAGGCCCACCGGGCACAGGCACTTGGTGCTGGTGACTGCATGTATCACAGCGCTCCCCACTGAGCCCAGGGGGGCAGGAGCAGCGGCCCGTGTGCATGTCACAGTAGCCCCCCTGGCAGCGGCAGCCTGTGTGTGGATGGGAAGGACAGCTGAGAACGGATGGCCAGGGTCCAGGGCACTTGTCCCCCTGGTGTCCCTGCACCCTGCTCCCATTTACGTTTGCAGCCCTGCTCAGGGATCCCCCAGTGGCTGGGGGCACACTCGCGGCACTGCAGCCCCCCGGTGCCCGGCCGGCAGCGGCACTGTCCACTGTGGGGATGGCATTCAGAGCTCTCGGCGGCTGGTCCACAGGCGCATGGGCGGCAGCCCCCACAACCCTCGAAGCCAAAGTGTCCTTGCTGTGGGGAGGGGTGACTGTCATAGGAGTCTCCATCTTGGACCCAAGGTCCTCCCCCACAGTGCCCCAAACTCAACACCACCTCCCTTCCCCTCCCCCAGGTGGTCCTACCTGGCAGCGGTCACAGCGCCTGCCTGCCACGCCCGGCTTGCACAAACAGTGTCCACTGTGAGGGTCACAGGTCTCCGTCCCACACGGGGAGCAGTCACATCCTGCAGAAGGGGCAAGATAGTGACTGGGTGCCTTCACCCCAAGTTCTCATCGGAGTCTGATTCAACACAGAACTGGACCAGCCTGGTCGTCCTGGTCCCCACCGCAGCACACCCACCCCCTCTCCTGGGTCTGCTCCAGAGCCCCTCTCGGCCCACAGCCATCACCTACGGGAGCAGTTGTCGGGCAGCAGGGCGTTCCCATAGAAACCGGGGGCGCAGGTCTCACAGTGAGGCCCGGTGGTGTGGTGCAGACAGCCGTGACAGGCCCCTGTGAGCGGGTGACAATCACTGAAGAGCATGTTGGGGTCACCATTGCCGCTGCAGTCACAGGGCTGACATGAACTGCCCAGCACCAACGGGTTCCCAAAGAAGCCAGGTGCGCACCTATAGGAGGGGATAGGGCACAACGTCAGTGCCCACATCGGCCATACCGAGTCCTGCCACTCAGCCTCCCGCCACTGCCCTGCTCACCGCTCACAAGAGGCGCCCGCGTAGCCAGGTTTGCAGAGGCACTGGGTGTGACCACCACGCAGGACACAGCCCACAGCAAAGCTGTAAGGATGGTGGCAGCTGTCACCACGTCACTCCCAGCTGCCCAGGCCCCGTTGGTGCTGTGATGGGGACATCCGGACAAGGGCACATAGGGTATGCCCGCCCCTGGGGAGTGGGGAGGAGCTGCCACTTACTTGTTCGAGGGCACAGCGAGGGGGCAGGGGCAGCTGGTGCAGGGGGCTGCAGGCCCCTCAGGGTCACTGCTCACAAAGCCTGGACGGCAACGTTCACAGTGGTCTCCTTCCGTGTTGTGCTGGCAACCCTGGGGCGGAAGCAGGGGAGCTAAGGAGGGCCCACCTAGGGGCCCTGGGGTGTTCTTTCTCCTGAGCTCAGCCCACCTTGACCAGAGAGGCCACTTACCACACAGATGCCCGAGCCGGGAAGGCAGCGGTCTGAGTGACCATGGCACTGGCAAGGAACACAGCGGCCCAGAAAGAGGCCCTTGGTGTCACGGTAGTAGCCGGGGGCACATTCCTGGGGTTGCATGGGAGGTGGTGAGTGGAAACAGAATTAGGGTATACGAGGGGACCGCATGGCACCAGGGTCAGAACTGCCCGCCCTGTTCATGGACCCAGCGACTGTTTACTGCCACTCCCCAGGCAATGGCCCAAGAAGCCATGTGAACATTGCAACTGCACATGGTGACCAGTCCCCCACCCCCATGGGCTGGGCTTTCTCTTTCTCATCAGAAAATCTCATCCTGCAGTGATTCAACTGCAAACTGGGTCAAACAGCAGGTGTCGCATTAGATGGCTGGATGGAGGACGGATGTGTGGGTGACAGTGAGGTGGCTTCAGGTGGACAGTGGGGGCACTGAGGATGAGTGCTGGAGTCAATGGGGACAAGACTGGTCAGGCTGAGGTGGGTGGGAGCAGACCAAGCAGGTGTGTGCATGGGCAGGTAAGCAGTGACAAGGGACAAATGGGTGGAGGGCACCAGTGGACAAAGAAATGAACAAGGTGAAGAAGGTGCCCACCCCGCCCTGCCTGGCCTCACCTGGCATGAGTTCCCACGGTAGTTGGCAGGGCACAAGCACACCTCCACACTGCTGGCTGGAGGCCCCCAGCCCCCCACATCAGCAACCTCCAGCACCACTCGGCGCAGGGAGACGGCTGAGGAGATCTGGGAGAAGAGAGCTCGGATCTGCAGTTGCTCCAGGCCAGCCAACACCATCATCAGTTCCTCCCGGGACACAGTGTTGTGGGTCTCTGTATGCCGGAAGTTTCCCTACAGACAAAGACAGGGCCGTGATGGGCCTCCACTGTGTATAGAACCCAGAGCCCGGACACAGACCTTTTCCCGCCCCCCCCACCCCCCCCACAGGAGGATGGAGGAGGGCAATATGCAGCACACTGAGGAAGAGAAGCTGTTGTTTATGTGGAGAAAACCCTCGGATGCCTACCTCACACCACCTACAAAGTCAACTCCAGAGGCAGGAAGAATTTATGTATCCCAAGAAGGCATTTTAAGTTTTAGAAGAAAATATAAGAGAGTATTTTCTCATCTCCAAGAGGCAAAAACTTTGTTAGGACACAAAAACAAACAAGAAAGTGGGATGAGTGATGTTACATGGTTACATGGATGCCACCCATGAGATAAAAACCACGCATATGATTTGCTGAATGGAAAGCTCATCTGTAAACCTTCACCCAATTCACAAGAAAAAGGTTTTATTTAAAAAAAAAAAAGATACAAAAACAGACCCACAAGTGAGAAAAGCAATTTGTCATAATAACTTTAGTTTGACAAAACATCTTAAAGAATAAGGTGAGCCATACCCAGGAAGAGACCCACGTTTACAGTTAGAAGTGTTGAGAATAATGAAGAAATCCTTGAGGAGACCCACAAGTCAAGAAAGAAGTGCTTTGAAGACACTGCAGGTGCCCCACAGGCGAGGGAGCCCAGGGGCCACTGAACCCCAAAACAGCTGCATACCCCCCATTTATGATGAAAGAACATCAACCTAGTGAAGAGTAAGGGCCAGTAGCTTGGCAGGACCACTTACCTCCACCAGCTGCAGCTGGCCAAGGTGACGGCGGCCGGGTGGCGGGTATGCCGGCTCTAGGAAGGTGATGCTCATCTGGTTGCCCTAGAGAGGCAGGTGAGCCAGGTAAGGGCAAGCATCAGGGTTAACCTCTGCCCTGTTCAGCATGCCACCTGCCTGCCCACCCAGCCACCTGCAGCACCACGTCTGGGCGGCTCTCTGTGGGGATGAAGATGTCTCCTCGCTGGGTCTCCGAGTGCAGCTCGTAGCGGAGCTTTCCGCCATACGATGATACCTGGAGGCAAGAGTGTGGTAGGACCCAGCTGGGGACCGGTCACGGCACTGTCCACAGGTCCCAAGTCCTCAGGCACCCTGGAGTCAGGCCTAGATGTGCCTATCCATCTTATACCTCCCAATCCCTGGGCTGGGTGCCCCTGCCCTTAGATAGCCTAACTCGGGGCCCTCCTGTCCTTGCTAACCCTTCCGGCCCTCCCTGATTATGCACCTCTCCAAGTCTTCCCTTGGCCCTGGCTAAACAGACACCTTCAGCTCTTCTCTGCCCCTTGCTTGTACAGGTCTGGCTCCTGAGTGACCCCTTTCCAGTTTGCTATTAGGGAGCGCCCCTCAGAATACAGACACTCTCCTGACCCTCTTAGGATCCTGGACACCCTCCTGCCCCCTTCCCCAGGCACGGGTGCCCACACTGCTTCTTCAATCCTCTGGGAACCCCCAGCCCCTCCCCGGACATGAACTCCATCCATCACGTGCTCAGGTCATAGGGTCTGGCTGCTGCCCTGCACGGAGCACTCACGCGGTCCCCCAAGTAAGAAGACGGAGCTTGCCAGTACAGCTCAGACTGGGTCTCCGGGGCACGGCGCAGGTCGGCATACAGCAGCTCTGCCTCCACCCTGTGCTCGTGGGGCACCACCTGCCGGTCTCCGCTTAGCAGCGTCCAACCATTCATGTCCACGAACTGCGAGAGCACGGAGCATGGAGGGGATGAAGGGTGCATGTCCCATCCATGCCCTCCCCCAGCACTGCCCAGTTAACATCAGGCTCCGCCCCCAAGCCCGTGCACACCTCCTTGCGGGCATGTGGTGAGCTTTCACAGCGTTCAGTGGCCCCGAAGCAGAAACAGCGTGTGCAGCCTTTGGGGTTGGCAGCGTCCAGCGAGAAGGTGCCCAGACGGCACTGGTCGCACTTCGGGCCGTCCACGTTTTCCTGAGGGCAGGAAGGGAACCTCCTGGGATACCTGGCCCCCCAAGGTTCTGCCAGCCCCCATCCCGCACCCCCTCCTCCGTGGCCCTCACCTTGCAGAAGCACTGGCCACTGAGTGTGTCACACATGCCAGGCACAGTGCCCGCCTCGTGACAGTCACAGGGGCGGCAGCTGGGGTAGCCGTAGAAGCCAGGGGCACACGTGTCACAGCGGCGCCCGGCCACATTAGGTCTACACCTGTAAGATTTAGAAGATCTCACCGCCATACCACATTCAAGCTGTCCTGCCCAGGCGCCCTTGGGGCTTCTGTGAGCGCCATCCCACAAGGCTGCAATCGTGCACCTGCATTGGCCGCTGTCCACGTGGCAGCTGGGCTCCGTGAGCTCCTGGACCCCTGGCCCTGAGCAGTTGCATTCCTCGCAACCAACCAGGGGGTGGCATCCAAAGGTGCGGGGCTGGCAGACCACACAGTCTGGCGGCAGGGTACGTGGTGGGCAGATGCAAAGACCAGTTACCTCATCGCAGAGACGAGTGCCACAGTCGCAGGCTGGGGGACAGGGGGAGTGTTAGTGGGTCCGATCACACTTCTCTCACTCTTCTATCCGCCCAAGGACCCCAACCGCAGCTCTGCAGGTGCAGGAACGGATGACCCCCCAGGGAGCCCCCAGGGGCTAGTGTACCTCTAGTTCTGAAGTACGCACCCTACCCCTACTTCCCAGCCCTGATTCCCTCCCTAGGAAGCACCCAGGGTCTAGCCCAACCCCCCAGACGGGATACTCACGCCTACAGTGGGGGAACCCCCAGTAGCCGGTGGCACAGCGGGAGCAGTCCCGGCCAATGACGTGGGCACGGCACGGACACTGCCCACCAAAGGGCTCACACGTGGGACTTGTGGCACCCACTTCGTGGCAGCCACACAGCAGGGCGCCATTGTTGTAGTAGAGAGAGAGAGAGATGGCGGCATCGCGGCAGAACGGGGATGAGCTAGGACTGAGGTGAGGCGTGGCTATGAGATATGTCCAGCCATAGCCCCACCCACCCCACCAGAGTCCTGCCCATGTTCCACTGGCCCCGCCCACCTGATATGGTAGCCCTGGGCTGCACAGTGGCTGATAAAGTCATATGATTTGTCCAGCGACTCCTCCTTCAGGTAGCTGGAGGTGTATGTATCCTCAGGAACCACCATCACATAATCCTGGGAACAGGGCCTGGTCACCTTCCCAAGGGCCCAACAAGCAAAGGGGGCAGGGAAGCAGCGGCAAGACCCTAACCACTTCTCAGGTTCAGGTAAGGCTGGCAGTCCTGATTCCTACCCCACCCCAGGACGGCTCAGAGGCCAACTGGATGCTTTGGAGAGGTCTTCCCTGTCCCCCTCCCCTCCCATGAGGTCCCACTTCCTCTAGGAAGGGGTCCCTGAACAGAACGCCGGCCCACCCCCTTGTTCTGGCCCCTCAGGCGGCATGCTGGAACTCACCAGCCAGAACCATCGGTCTTTGGGCACACGCACGGTAACGGTCAGCTCGCTGTCAGTCACATCCAGCACCGTCTGGCCCTCACACACTACCAGGATGCGGCACCCATAACCATGTGGGCAGAAGCTAGCATTGGCCTGGCCTGGGGGTCAGGAGGGAGGCAGGTCAGGCCCCTCCTCCAGACCTGCTCCAGCTGCAGGCCCTGAGGCACAGGAAATCTGTGAGTAGGGTGAGGGATATGTCACCCCCTCACACCATCTGAACCCACAGTTGGCCCACATCAGTGTGTATAATTGGATAGTGACCGTGGCTGTGTGGTGGTTGGTCAACCGATGACCTAACCTGGAACCCCTCCCCCAGGATCTGTGCATCGAGACTTTGGAGTGCTGGGGTGAAACCTGAATAGCAGGGACTTGACTGTCCAGACATGGGAGGCACCCACTCACCGTGCCAGATGCGCCCCCCATTGATGAGCACCTCCACAGGGAAGGTGGGGTGCGCTGGCTGGTAGCCATGTAGCAGGAAGGTGTATCGGCCCAGAGTGGGCACCTGAGTGGTGAAGACCACAGTACCCTGTGGGGGGAGGCAGTGAGGTGGTGAGTGGACAGACACTAGGGACCCCAGCCAGCCTCCACCACTTGGACCACCTCCCAGGTCCTCACCTGAGGGTGGCGTAGCAGGGTGGGCTCGGCGTCGGGGTCCACGGCAGTGGGAGGCCGAGGCTGGGGCCCAGCTGGGGGTGCAGCCGGTGTGAGCTCCTGGGAGTGGGTGAGTGGAAGGCTGGGCAGCAGAGGCAGTACCAGGCAGTCCCGTAACAGGATGGGCTGGGGCGGCTTCGGGAAGCGGGAGGGCAGGCAGGCAGCACTGCGAGCAAGTGGAGGGCCATGTCAGCGCCCACCTGGCCACCTAGATCCACTGTCCTCCCCCGAGTCCTCCTGACCCCACTGGATACCTGCTTGGACCAAAGGTGCCATGCCGGCTGATGCAGTGGACTTGGGGCTCCACAAACTCCATGGTGGGTTCTTCAGCAGGAACCAGGGTGATACCATGCTGTGGGCAGGGGGAACAGTGAGGGCGCACGGTGGGGTTAGCACACACCACAGCCACATCGTCCTGCCTCTGCCCAAGCCAGGGCTACTCTGATGGCTCAGAGCAGGCCCGTGGCAGGGAAGAGTGGTACTCTATGAGGTCCAGATGCTTCCAAGTGCTCATGGGGCATCATCTTCCTGGTCTCAGCAAATCGTCACCGGCAGCGCTCCTCCCCAACGTCTCCGCCCTTAGTTCCCTCTGTGAGGCTGGGTGAACAGACTCATGGGTGGGCAGGGACACGTACAGTAAATACGATAAAAGACCCAGAAGAAGCGAAATGAAGGGACGCCACACAGTCAGGGCACCAAGGCCACACAAAGACCTGCTGTGTGTGTCATTATAGAACGTTCCAGAATGGGCAAAGCCGAATGCTGCCGTTAGACATTATCAGATTAGTGTCTACTCTGTAAGGGGACGCAAGGGCCCAAAGGGTATCTGTCCCTGAGCTGTGTTGTGTTGTGGGTACTTTTCTTTGTACATGAAATACTTGAACTTAAAGTTTCAAAGCCATTCCACCCACTGTTGGGCTGCTGGAGTAAGGAGAGGAACACTGAGGGGTTCAGGGCAAGAGTCTCTTGACTTTTGTTTGAAACCTCCTAAAGTAGCTGACCCCACAAAGCAGGCGAGGGGCAAGTCTCACCAGGAAGAAGCGTGCCTGCTCAGCCGTGAGCCGGACGCTGGCCTCCGTGTCTACGTGGAAAACAGCCAGGTGTTGCTGTGTATCCGTGGCAGTGCCCCGGCACAGGGTACTGTGGGGGGTGAGGGGTGGTCAGGCAGGGCAGGGCACTCACCCCTCCCTGCAGAGACCAGGGGCCCCCACGCACCTGTACAAGCAGGGGTAGAAAGTGAGTTTGCCCTGCTGAGGGGCCCGCTGGGGGCTGTGCACAGTCACCCCCACCTCCTGTCGAGTGTCCTCATTGGCATATTCCACTAACAGCACGTAGAAGCCTGGCCTGGGCACTGCCACTTGAAGCTGCACATCCACCTGTGTGTGTTGGGGGGTGATCAGAGTGGCTCCACAGCCCCCGAATCGATCCGCTCACACCCAGGCCCTCCCCACAGGGGCTCTGTGTCTTCCAGGTGAAGGAGTAGCAAAGGGAGGCGTTGGAACCTCCCTGTCACCCCTGTGGTCTTGGCAGATGCCCAGCACCCTGCCCCCTGCGCCCATGACAGTAATGAGGGCCCTTCCCCCAAGGGACCCAGACACTCACATCACTCCCCAGGCAGGCGGCCAGTGGCGGGTGGGAGGGGCTGAGCTGCTCCATGGGGCAGGGCCGGGGCAGACTGTTGTCATGACGACATAGTGCTTCGGGTCCAGCAGCCGAGGGAAAGCCATCCAGGGGGAGGTGGGCATAGAGGAGGCAGCTGGGGGCACACAGGTGGTCAGCATGAGCGGTGTTCCTGGGCCTCATGGACAACCCCCCACTCCTGCCCCTCGGGCAACCCCTCACTTGTCCGAGGAGTGCTGGGTGATGGGGCGGTAGGTGCAGGGCTCGGTCACTCGCAGCTGCAGGAGGGCTGCCTCGTAGTAGGCGCTTGGTAGCAGCACCACATAGTCCTGGGGCAAGGAGAGAGGCAGGTGGGTGCAGGCCCATGGCCCGGCCCAGCCCTTCCCCCAGGTCAGCTCCCTGCCTCACCAGGAGCACGCCTTCAGCTTCCACGAGCAGAGCCCAGGTGCCAGGGTTCATCACAAAGGGCTCCCCAAAGCCCCTCTGGGGTACCGTGATGAAGGTGGGCTCCGTGCTGGGCGGGAAGGACACTTGCTGACCCTGCATCGTACCTGTGGGATAGGGCAGTGAGACCCCAACTACTACTAGACTAGGCTCACCCATCCATGCAGGGCCCACAGTGGGGCTCCACGAACAATGGGGTGGGGTGGCACTCACAGTTGGCACAGGTCTCAAACTTGCCCTCTTCCCGAACAGAGACATGTCCAACCACATTGGTGGGGCCCCTGTTGACGTAACGGAAGATGAGCCAGAAGAGGTCTGGGGAGGTCACATTCAGCCGGGCCACGATCTTGGGCTGGAACAGAAAGTACAGGTCACCTCTCCCCCATACCCAGCCTGGGTCACCCCGAGGCCTGGCCCCTGTGCCAGGCGGGTGCCACCGCCAGACCCCTGGGCTCACCTGGATGGGCAACATCTGTGCATAGCCCCTCCAGCTGAAGTTCTCGAACTCCAGAGGGTTGAAGCCAAAGCGGACCGCATGGCCCTGGGGTGTGGTCGCCTCCTCCAATTCCAGGCGCAGGTGATGTAAGTCGGGCAGGTAGTGGTCCGGAGCTGGCCTGGCACAGTGCAGCCAGGACCAGGTGACCCCGGGAAGGGGGACTGGAGAAGCCCTGAGAACAGCTGTCCCCCCACCACCCTATTCTTGACACCTTCCCCTCCCATCGGGAGTGGGCACTCACTTGTTGCAGGTGGAGCCCTGAGTGTTGGGGCGGCAGAGGCAGGCGCCCGTCCGAGGCTCGCAGCCCTGGCCCAGGGCGCCGCCAACATCACAGCGGCAGCCTGCAGCACGAAGGAGCCAGTCACCTCTGCAGCCTCACCACTGTTACCCTTCCCACCCCCCAGCCGAGAACAAGAGCTGTTATCTGCCACAAGGCCTGGGAGCCTAGGCTCAGGGTCAGAGCATGGATTGATTAGTGATGTCTGCCAAGGTTCAGGAGGAGGGGGGTAGGAACGCCTGTCACAGGCTCCCACCAGAGCACTTCTGAGCTTCCTCCTTGCTCCAGCCTGGGCCAGTCTGGCATCCACAGCAGCTCTGTACTACTACTCCACACAGATCTCTCCCTGCCAGTGTGAACCCAGGGCAGGCTCAGGACGGGTCTGGGACTCACTGAGGCAGCCGAAGTAACTGGCTTGGTCCAGCCCGAAGAAGCCGTCCCTGCAGGCAGTGCAGGTCTGCCCACACACGTGGGGTCTGCAGAAGCAATGGCCACTGCCCTGGAGGCCCAGAAGGGAGTTAGACTGGGCAGGGGCCCCACCCACCTTCCCCAACACCCACCTCAGCTCCCAGACTCACCTGATGACACTCAGTAACACCTCCCAGTGTGCCTCGGGGGTCACAGTTGCAGCCTGGGAAGGGGCAGAGGGTCCTGAGAGGAGGAGCAGCCTGGGGGACCAGACTCCATCTTTGCCCTAAATCTCTCCCTGCCTGCTCCTAGAGCCCTCACACTCACTCTGGAAACTCACAGCTGCAGCCCACCTCACCTGCCCCCAGGAGCTCCCAGCATTCCATACCCACTCCAGAGATTTAAGGGGGTATTCTCCATCTGCCCACCCCTACACCCGCAGTGTGAGACTCACGGGTACAGCCCTCAGGGTTGCTGGGGTTCAGCCCCCAGAACCCGGATTTGCAGCGATCACAGCTTGGCCCCTCCACATGAGCCCGGCACACGCAGAGCTCCTGTGCCTGGAAAGCATGGGACTGAGGGTCAGAGTGGGCTCCCACAGGGCTCTGACAAGGATTGGGCGCCATGGTCACCTGTCCCGCCTCACACCCGAATCCACCAGAGCCCAGGGTAGCAGGTGGAGGAGATGGTCTCACTGGGCCTGGGGGCTTTCAGTCTGGCCTGGGCCTCATTCCCCCACCAAAGGCAGACCTGGACTCACCTCAGGCAGGGTGGGGTGGGCTGGGGCCAGGCCGGCGGGGTGGCAGGAGCCAGCTGTGGAGAGAAGCGGGCTGTGGTCACTCCTGTGACTAACCCAGAAGACCACCCAGATCCCATGACCCTGTGTGAGCCTGAACATCCCCCTTACAAATCTGTGAACATACGTGAGAATACATGTCTTCCTTCTCTGGTGACTGGCATGTGCCCTCCCCCACCACACAGCACATGTGAACACATGCATGCACAATATACTCATGATGTGTGCACCCAGAGCATGTGACATGACTGTCCACACAGCCACATGCACACATGTGTGCATGACACCTGCCCAGCCCTCCAGCGGCAATGCACACCTTCGCAGTGGGGGAAGTCATAGGCACCGGGCACACACATGTCACATCGCAGCCCTGTCACGCGGGGCCGGCAGCTGCACTGTCCACTCCGGGGGTCACAGGCCGCATGCAGGGAGCCATCGGCAGAGCAATGGCAGGCTGTGGGGAGGGGAGCAGGTGGTGGGCACATGGTGGGGACCCGCAGCCCCCTCTCCGCCCCTCCCAATCACTCACGGACGCAGTCCGGGAAGCCGTGGAAGCCTGGACTGCAGGTCTGGCAGAAGGGACCCGAGTAGCCAGGGCGGCAGTGGCACACCCCGCGTGCCCCACACAGCTGGTCCAGGGCGCCCTGAGGGTCGCAGGCACAGGCTGTGGGGGGCACAGGGTCAGGTCCTGGGCACCATGCAGGTGGCCCATCCTCCTGTCCTCCCACCCCTGCCTCGACTCACCCTGGCAATCTGGGTAGCCATGGTAGCCAGCTCGGCACTGGTCACAGTGGGGACCGTCAAACTCGGGCCGACAGTGGCAGTGACCTATTTCATCGCAGCCTCCAGGCAGGGTCCCCGCAGGGCTGCAGCCACACACTATGGGACGGACAGCGTCACGGGGACCCTCAGCCCAGGTACCCGCCCCTGTGTCTCGAATGCCTGTCTAGGGCAGCGTGACTCACGTTGGCAGAGAGGGAAGTGAAAGTATCCAGGAACACACCGGTCGCACGCTGTGCCCTCGAAGCCCACCCGGCACACACACTGGCCCGAGTCTTGGTCACAGTCGCTGTTGGCTACCCCGGGGCTGGAGCATTGGCATGCTGCAGGAAGGGTCAACACACTGAGTCAGAGGGGCCCAGGCCCCAGAGTCCACAGTGTCCAGGGGCGAGGGCTGTACTCACGCTGGCAGCCGGGGCCGTAGAATCCAGGGGCACAGAGTTCACAGTGGGCGCCCTGGAAGTTGGGTTTGCACACGCAGCGCCCCACCTGTGGGTCCTTTCGGCAGGCATTGTCCTGGGTCCCCGCAGCACTGCAGTCACAGTCTGGAGTGGGGGTAAGAGGGAGGCTCACACACCCTAAGCCTGGAAAAGCTCCTTCTCTACAAACTTGTTTTCTTAGAACTGACACCAAACTACAGGAGGCCCTGGGCAGCTCATGGCAAGGTCGGCATTTGAGACTCACCAGCTACTCCAAGGAAGAAAGATGAAGCTGCTTGCTCTCATCAAGATTTACCGGCTCAGAAACCCAGAGAGGTTCACAGAGGAAACAGCAGTGGGCAAGAAATCAGAACTCTCACAGATCCATTTCATTCATCCTTTACGATATGAATACCCAAGTAACTGCAAGCATTCACATAAGAGAAAACAACCAAGACGTATTGCCCAATCCAATAGAAACCAGGAAATGAAAAAGCCCAGCAGAGACAGGGCAGACAGAAAAGAGGAGGAATGATTCCTGATTCTCAGCAGCCACCACCAATGGGTCAGGCTGAAATGTCCTCTCACAAAGTGAAACCAAAGATTCAGCTTGAATCTGCAAGGAAAATTCAGTTACATCCTCTGTGAAGGACGTACCGTGAACCAAGGACTTGGGACAGAAACAAAAGACACAGGAAACAAAACCTGTGGTGCTGGCAGCCGAGGAGGTGAGCATGGAAATGGAAGCCGAAGCCCAGGCAGACATCAGGCACCAAGTATGGCAACAGGGAGAGCTGCTGTATGTTGGGAAAATGGACCCTTGTCCGAGAGATGGAGCCAATACAAATCTCTACAACAGAACCAATCTAGTCTTCAGGTGTCTGAAACCAAAGCTGCTAAAATGTCAGGATACTCTGGCAAAACCACAGTCGTAAAAAAAGACTGGATATATACATGCTGAGAATGTGGCAGTTCAAAGAGACAAAACCCCAGCATGGACAGAGGAGACTTAAATAGCCTACTTTACAAGCTGGGTTTTGATAGATGTTTGCGCAGAAATATGTGCCCAATAAACAACACACATCCTCATCAAATATTCCAGTAAGTGTGGCAGAGTGGTCACATTCTAAGTAGGCAACAAAGAAAAGCTCAAATTCCAAAACTCAAACCCCAAACTCATCAGATTACAAAATCTGACCATGCTGTAATAAAACTAAAACTGAGTCACCACAAGAAAGGATATGAACTTAATCTGATCACCTGGGATTTCTAAACATGCTTCTAGAACACCTCCAAGGAGCTCTGGTAGCGTAGTGGTTACCAATCAGGCTGTAAACCTCAAGGTCAGCAGTTCGAAACTACCAGCCGTTCTGTGGGAGAAAGATGAGGCTTTCTGCTCCTGTACAGATTTATAGCCTCGGAAACCCTACACAGGGGCCACTATGAGTCAGAACCGACTCCGCGGCACACTAACACCACCAAAACACCTCAAATCCCAAAGAAAATTAAAACAAAGTACAGTCTATTTAGAAAGAAACAATGAGAGCATGTTAAATCAAACCCTAAGACCTACACATAGCCAAAGCTATACTTTGAGGAAAATTTATAGCTTTAAACCAGTTTCAAAAGCTCAGCATCATTGCCATTTTGGGCTGCGGCTGTCCCATCCATTGTGGGATGTGCCTTCCTGGTATCTCTGCCCACTAGATACCAATTGCACCTCCTAGTTGTAATAACCAAAAATGTCTCCAGATAGACATTTTTCTGCCTGGAGGGTAGAAATTGTCTCTGGTTGAGAACTACTGCTTTAAGCCTTTTTATTGATAATAAAGATGAAAAAATAATAAACTAATAACTGAAGAGGCTACAAAAACAGTAATGAATCAAAAGACAATTGTTGTCATTAGGTGTTGTTGAGTTGATTCTAACCCCATCCATGTACAACAGAACACTGCCTGGTCCTGTGACATTCTCACAATTGAAATGCTTGACAAAAGAAAGCAGACAGGAAGAATTAAAGATTTTAGTTCAAAATGTACTGTATTTCAAACAAAAGCAAAATCTTTTCCCCAAAACTAAACAAAGAAAACCCCCAGTAATGCTTACCAATGTCACCTAATACTAGCTCTTTGAAACTACCAATAAATTAGGCAAACCTCTGGTAGGTGTGATCAAGAAAAGTAGGAAGAAAATGAATTCTATAAAGAGCTAGTGCCAATGAACAAGTAAAAATGCAGCACAGTGAAAGAAATGGATGAGAGGTCTGGGGATCACACTCACATAAATGCAACCGACAAAGCAAAACAACATAAAAGACTCAGCCTCATCACTGAGCTGAGGACTGCAGCTGAGCAGGATCAAACCTAAGACACACTGTTATTTAATTGGGGTCACGCAGGGTAATGCACTGGATTACAGGTCAGTTTAACCCACAAGGTTGGCGGCTCAAACTCATCAGCCGCTCCTTGGAAACCCTACACAGGGTCAGTATGAGCTGAATTCACTTGACGGCACTTAACAACAATGAAAGGAAAGGGGCCCCTGGTTGGTGTAGTCAGTGAACGCACTTGGCTGCTCACCTAAAGGTTGGAGGTTTAAGTCCACCCAGAGGTACCTCAGAAGAAAGGCCTGGAGATCTAGTTCTGAAAAATCATTTGAAAGTGCTCTAGAGCCTTTATGTACCACCAAGCACTTCATGGGATTTGGTTCCTTGGTTTGGAAATTTAGGGTCATGATTTCATGGGCTCTCCCAGTTAATTGACCTAAAATGGTGCTTCTATTCTGCCTGCTAGTTGACTGTGTTCTGCCTCAGGTCTTAAATGCTTATAAACAGCCACACAAGGCAAAAGCATAGATCTCTACTTGCCTGGAGCAATAGAGGGAACAGGACAGTCAGGAGTAAGAAGAGGAA